AATCAACTCAGTTCTTCCGCCGATCCAAATACCCGCCCATACCATGATGGTTCCACCACTATAAGGATGGACTTCCTGGCAGGATTTTAATCGCTGTTGGCGTCCAGGGGTTCTCCAGTGTCGTATACGTCTTGTATCCGGTCTCATACCAAAACGAGACTCATCAGAAAAGCACACGAAACGCCATTGTTCTTCTGCCCAATTTCTGTGTTCAAGAGCCCATTGATATCGAATCCTACGATTGTGCATTGCTATAGGTGGTACCCGTAGCGGTCTTCGGGAATGAAGGTTCACTTCATGCAAGCGGTTTCTGACTGTTTGGTCGCTAATTAAGTCCCCTGAAGAGTGATGAAGCCTCACGGCTAACATCATGGCGGTTATTGTTGGAGCTCTTCGAGTTAAGATTTGAATGTATCGGTCTTGTCTCCGTGTGGTGCAGCGATACCGTCCTCCATGGCGCTCAGCCACGGTACCAGTGCTTCGGTATCGTGTCCAAAGTCGACTGATAACACTCTGACTTGTATTCAGAGCTAAAGCCACAGTACGTTGCCGGGAACCAGCTTCTATCATTCCCACGGCTCTGAGCATTTCTTCCCTGCTTAAATGACGTCGCCGCTCCATAATAACGTTGGTTTTAATCAGTAGTAGGGAAACAGTAGCACTAATAATGTCTTCAATGCGTTGTATGTTTTTATAGGGAAAATATTGACAGCTGATTTTCATCTTTTACTCGAATTTGATTCACAGTTCCTGATTCAAATTATGAAATGCACCAAAAAGGATCCATATAAATTTATAAAATTATAAATTTATTACAAAGCCACATCTCAATCTCAAGAAATCCGCATAAAAATGCTTGATCCCTAGACACTTTTGATGTGTGTATCTCTTATCTATTAGACAAGTCCGTCCGTCCGTCTGTGGTGCTGTTTCAGCGGCCAAACCGTAAGAGATAGATAAAGAGAATATTTAAGTTATAAGTTAAGAATAGTCTGATAAGACTACAAACCGGATTTGAGTAACGTAGCACTTCCGGTTTTCGAGAAATCATGAATTTCAAACGAAACCACACAAAATCTCCGAAGTTCTCAATTAATTAAATACATTTTTTTTTTTAAATCAGGCTTTGGTGAACATTTGGTTCACTGGTTTGCTAGTTTTATTACTCATTTGGCAATTATTTACCTGTCACAATTTATTTACAGACAACGCTTGGAATAATCCGAAGTCTTTAGCATCATTTAGCTATGTAATATACAATAGATGTTTTTTTAAGTAGGTAAAACAAGTTGATTTTAATTAGAGGTCAAGATTTAAGTTACATCTCAACACTGCAGACATTGAAGTAAAAGCGAACTCCTTAGCGACCTCGTCATGTAATTTGACTCACGACCAAAAAGTTCGTACAAGTGCTTACCCTAAGAAAATATAGGGAAAAGCAAAAGCTTTTACTTCGTTCTACTCAACTGTTGCTCTCTCATTCCTCTTTCTCAGTGTAAAGCGGAACATAAGACAGGATTTAGTAGAATTTCAACCACCAAGAAACTCGACAAATAGGCAAGCATTAGTATTCTTCAACAGCATTTTAAATCAGTTGAAAAACGAAAGAGCGGATAGTTTCAGATTGCAGCCGCGCTGTCGGCGCTCTGCAGGCGACGAGCCATTCCGATAATTACTGGAGTGCGTTCCCGTGTTTAAAACCACCGTTTACGATCGCATTTAAAGTCTTGTAAAACTCCCAGTAATGCAGATGGAAATGTTTTACCGGTACGCACGGTATACGGGTAAACATTTCGCTCGCTCTATAGGCCCCGGCATTTTGCTAAAAACCTCGATCGCTATTTGCAGTGGAGTTGAAAGCGGTTCGGTTTTGTATTTAAATGCTTTAGATTTAAAAGCACTGGGTAATTTTTTCGACTGTAGGATCGAGTTCGAAATACACTTCCTATATTTACTACATGTGATTTAGATACGCACATGATATGCTGGCGCCCAACGTGTTGTATTTTATTATGAAGTCATTTAAATATTTTTAATAATAGAGTGGTGTCGATTCTGGCATGATTCTCATATAATTATTTTTGACAACAGTGTATTATTGTCATTCTCTATAAAGAATGAAAAGAAGAGACTGATGTTAAATGTTTTAAGTTTAGAGAATAATGCCGGAATGGACCAACACCATTGCATACTTATTTAGTAAAATAGAATAGAATAATTCTTTATTGCAAAACTGTTACATTTAGTGATACTGCTAGATGTTAGTGCGCACAATTGAAATAAACAGTTACCCTAATCGGGCATGCAATAGTTATTTTCACAAAACATTATTATTAAAATATTCATTTAGATTATAAAATGCGTTATATAATAACCATTGCTTCAGGGACCTTACAAACTTATATTCAGGAAGTGACTGCAGATAGAGGGGTAAATTATTGTATATTCGTATGGCAGACATATAAAGTACATTTTTCAAAAATTACTAAATTTGACCGAGGTAAATATAATTCGTCTTCACGTCTCATCGGGGTTATTCTAGCTCTCTTGTCACAGATCTTTGGGAATTCAGACATTTAATTTCATTGTAATCATCGTATTGTGTATGTAAATTGTTTAAGGCTAAGAACTCGTGGAGCGATTTTTCCCTGCACCCGCTGCGGGCCGCCGCAGTGCTGTTTTATTTAAAACACACACAACACCGCAGTGCCGCGGCTGACCACGTCCAGCGCGCCCACAGCGGGTGCCGCAAATCGCTCCGTCAGGTTAACTTTGCGTTTTACCTACAGTTTTACATTCTATAACGCGATTCAAATAAGAATAGGAAAGCCAATGACCTCCATCTGTCATAAGTCGCTTGAAAAGTACAGTTTGCAAAAAAATCTCGGAATACTTTTTTAGCACTCGGCTATTTCTAGAATAAAAATCAAATATTTTTAAACAAACAATAACAAATATTGATAATTAATATTGGTTGATATTTTTCTTCTTTTATTGAGCTTTGGCTATGAATGGTTGATAACCTAAATCGTCAACCAAATGTCACTTTAATTCACTTTATGTTGCGTTCAGAAATTCTATTTAAAACTTTCGTTTCCATATAGGATGCATGTTCGTATGTGACCTGCATGATTATTCATAACTACTCCGGCGGTAATGCAGAGATGAGCGGAATTGAAGAGCTTGATTCTTGATTCTCACACAGTCTTAATAAAGAAATATTATTAAAAATCGTGTTTTTTCTCTCAATTTTAGTAAATTAATTTTATTAAAAAATCTGATGTTTTTTCTCACTTAATTTCAGTAAATAAGTTTTATTGAATAGAAACTTTTTTTTGCTCACTCTACCTATTTGGTTTGAATTGACAGCTATGACGTCAAAATATGGCGCCCAGTCGGTCCTATTCTTAGTTGAATCGCATTATACGTGAGTTGCGGTCCCGAAGCCGCGGCGGATGCTGGAGAAAATAGCGCCGTCAGTTCTTAGCCTCAGTTTACCTGTTAGTTACTCTGTTACGGCTAATAGCCGAAGGACGGCTACACCTAGTTTTAGCCGGCTACAACTAGGAGCAGCCCGCCACATGCGGTTAAACTTAGGTGTATCCTACTTATGCACCTAGTTGTAGCCGGCTAAAACTAGTTGTAGCCGCACTTCGGCTATTAGCCGTAACAACTCCATTACGAAAACATTTGGCACTCGAATTATGTATTACCTGAATTTGGTTAAACCCTATAGAAAATTGGTATAAAAGAGTTGTGAACCTTTACTAATGGAATCGTCTTAAACTCGTTTATCATTATATCATTAATTTATACCTCTATACTTTCTATACTAATATTATAAAATAGTTTGCAAGTTTGTGAATTTGTAAGGGGTAATTTCTGGGTCTACGGTCTACTGCAACCACGTTTTTGGTGACGGGCATAAGCTATATATTAGAATAAAAACATAATAGAATATAATATAATAGAATAAAAACTATAGTCTACACACTGAAGAGAAGTGAGGACGGGACACTAATGGGTAATTTAATACAATAGAAGTTTGTCTGGTTTTTTATAGCACAGTGTGACCTAAACCCGCACTTTACGCACGCTTTTCCGTGACCTAAGTTGCCTATTTCTGCACGGTGTGTAAATGAATTGACCAACTTCACTCATGTAGAATTAGTACATTACGATACGCGTAATTTAACTTTACTATGCCAATCAAGGAATAAACGTTCATGGATACATTGAAATTCTATTTTGTTGTAATGATATTTGATTTTTTCCTTTTGAAATATACCTTCAAAATGGTAATCTGAACCGGAATTCTTTCTTTTCAGAGTTTGACTTGCAGTCTGTATTGCAATTCTTTGTGATTGCAATACATGAATTTTACTTTCAAAACACTAATCGCATCCCCCCCTCTTGCCCGCGTCCGGGGCGGGTTTGTGTCACACTTGCTATAAAATAGTATACGATACTTGTGGCCTAAGTTGTCTTTTACTGCACGGCGTGAAGTTAGCGCCCGAGCGGAGCGAGGTCAACTTAGGATTAGGATAGGCAACTTAGGTCACGCGTATCGTAATGTACTATTTGACATGATAACGTCTTATTATAACGATGAACACCGACTGCACGCACGAAAAAGTGTCACGTTCCGCCTGAACATGAGCGTGCAAGCGGCTGACCAAAAATCTTCTATCTCAAGTTCCTCCGTGCTTCGGAAGGCACGTTTAGCCGTTGGTCCCGGCTGCATCTGCAGTCGTTAGCACCCACCAATCCGCACTGGGCCAGCGTGGTGGGTCATGGCGCAACCTCCCTATTCCATCCATAGGGAAGGCCTGTGCCCCAGCAGTGGGGACATTAATAGGCTGATGAAGATGATGATTAATAAAAATATGGAAGTATTTAATTTATAATTCGATTTAGAAAGTCAATATTCACAAACATACTTACAACCTCCTGAAATGACAGCAAGCGAAACGGGTTTTTCACCAAAATAAACCAAAACATTAATTTCTAAAAATATAATTTCATCAATATAATAATAACTATAATACAATGTTACGAATATATTAATATATTTTTATTCGACGTACAGATACAGCACTCGGAACCAATCAGTCTATATTGGCGAATAGGTACCTACATGACACATTACTTCCACATAATTAAGCAAAATCTTGAAATAATTATTATAGTTAGAATAAATTAAAAATAATAATATTTAATTGGCTCAACATTATTATCATTTATAAACAAAACAAATATAAAAATTTAATTCTCACAAACTAGCATTTTTACTCTCAAAAATCATCAACGAAAACTACTAACAATATATTATGAAAAGTACGAAAAGGTTTAGGATTTCATGTGTTTTAAGATCTTAAGGGCGTTTTTTGCATAATACAAATTGTCTTCACTATTTTTAAATTTGAATTCTTCTTATTATATCTTTTGCGAAACATTAGTATAATAATAATAACTTTTTTTTAAACCTACTTACTTCGGTTATATAAACTGTAAAAGAAAGAACCGAAAGTTAGGTTCAATAAATTTCATAATTATTAATTTTAACTTAAATAAAGTAAAGAGCAAAAGTTTTATTTAACTACATCATAAGAATAAACAATTAAGTAGGTAATGAAGCAAAAATTTCGTTAAACTTAACCCATATTATAACAAATAACTCATTATAGCATTTAATTTTCATGTTATATTGAGAAGTTTTATATAACTAGACGCCAATTCATTGAAAGTTAAAAAATAGATTTTATTTTAGGATAACAACAGGAAAACAATATTTATTCAGTATAATTTTGGTTCAAATTATGCAATTAATTATCTATTTAAAATAATTTTAAGAAGTACATAATTAATATTAGCGAAAATGTTAGAGATGATGTTTTTATCTTAAGACACTAATTTACAACATAAAAAAAGTAATTTTTATATTTAATGATTTTTTATACGAAAATACAACTCGTTTATGATACTAGACCGGACGTGTCGAATTCCTTCTAGTATAGATTAGGTGGCATGACACAGATATATGCCCGGATAGCGAAAAGTGCAGGTTCGGCACGACGTAGATTTGCCCGGATAGCGAAAAGTGCAGGTTCGGCACGACGTAGATTTGCCCGGATAGCGAAAAGTGCAGGGACGGCATGACGTAGATTTGCCCGGATAGCCAAAAGTGCAGGTTCGGCATGACGTAGATTTGCCCGAATAGCGAAAAGTGCAAGTTCGGCATGATACAGATTTTCCCGGATAGCAAGAAGTGTAGGTTCGGCATGACAGAGATTTTCCCGGATAGCGATAAGTGCAGGTTCGATTCCAGTCGTAGTATGTATGTGACGAGTAAATTTTTTTCAAGTAACAATATCTTTTGAATATAAAATTCTAACTAAATGTTTGTAAATAATTTTTGTCAACTAAATTACTGCCCACGAAATATTATATCATACAATTAATGTTCCATTAGACGAGAAGCGTGTATTCAATTTTATGTTAAAATTATAACTAATTTTTTTTTTTCACTCATATAAATGCTGTTATTGTAACATAATAAATACGATTAAATTATAACTATTATGTGTTTGGGAACAAATTGAATTAAAATAACAAAATAAATTTTAGTAATATATTCGACTACTTTAAAGTGTAATAAAATAAATAAGATGCGAATTCATCGTTTTTACCATTACAAATATAAGTTATAAAATAAAATTCTAAATTAATTTAGTGATAAAAATTTAAATTATAATAATCGTAGCTCTTTAATGAAAGATCTAGTGTGTGTCTTGCAGATGCTGATTACAACTAAGTTATTATGTACGTATAGTGTATATGTACTCATTAATTTAGTTAAAAAGTATTACTTGCTTAATAATACAATAAAATAACCATTATTTTAATAGCCAGTAAAAAAACTTGCCATCACGTTTTCATGATTTTTTTTATATACTGACACTATTTGAGGTAATTAAAGTACATAATAAATACGAACATAATAAAGTACATGTTTGTATGTAACGTTTATTTACAGTTGCATTTTAATTGATATACATTATTACAGTAGCGCCGACATTAGTTAACAATATACACTTGTCTAAATCTATGTCACAACATGCATATAATACAATTTCTAACGTCTCTCTCTAAGATTTCGACACTAGTTATTGCGACAAAGTTTTAAAACTTACTTCACATGTGTTGACAAAGTTGTAATGACAAAAATTTACGTAATTTTAGTGTGGTGTTCATATAAAATCGTTATTTGCCGATAAATACAGTATTCTTTAACACAGGTACCTTATCTATTTTTCTGATATACATACAAAGCGTAGGTCAATACCAGATTTATGTCATATCAGAGCTAAATCAATGTAGAAAAATTATAATAGAGTTGAACTTAAAAAGTGTCCAGTTAAGTAAGTCTCTCATATAGTTAGTTTTGTTAAGAAAGATACAAGTATCTGCTAAAGTTATAATAAGTATCTTTTTTATGGGAAGAATTTAGCATAGTATAGTGTTTAGTATGTAAGTGTTTAACAAAAGCAGTCAACAATATTAAATACCCTAGATAAACCACGAGCGCTCAAAATGTGTCCCAATCAAGAAGTGCTTGAACACAACTCAAGCACTTCTTGGTTCACAGTCACGCGCGGACCGTTGACAAGTCAAGATGCCGCAGAGCTCCGGGAAAAAAATACTTATACAGTGGATTTTGGGTACAAAGACTATGAAGGGACCACTCTATTCGTAACAGGCAAAGGTAAAGATATACAGACACGTACACATGTATAGTTTATATTCATTTATAAATGACTAGCGGCCGCCCGCGACTTTGTACGCCTGGAGTTAATTATTCGTTGTTACAGAATGCGTTGAAGAAATAAAGGTTAACTGCTCGTTCCCCGTAGGTAGGACAGCGTGATAATATGTAGCCTATATGTTGACCCGACTTCTTAATAATATTCGTGCCATATTTGAATTAAATCCATGCAGTCCACACAAATGAAAGTGAAATCAAGAATGAATCCACTGTAGTACGTAAAGTGTCGTTTTTTCGACAGGTATTCTGATCAATGTTTGTTAATTTAACGCATTTGAAGCAAATTTTGTTCTAATACTTACTATAAACTGATTTAATATAAAATATTTTTTGATATTCAAATGCATGGTCGGTCATACGTCGCCGTATAGCCATCTCGTTTCCTCGCGGCCCGTACCTGCTATATCGCTAACAGTAATTCTAAAATATAAGGTTTATATCCTTCCGCATATAGCAATAAGTCGTAAAATTTTATGAGCTTGCATTTCGAACTGTCATAAGTCTTTGACGCATGCGTTTAAATTAAGACCTTATACAGTACGCATTAAAGGTGACTTGAACACGCGATCATCTTAAGGAGCTCCGTGGATCGTCCAATGTACCTTTTGGACAGGTTTCGGCCACGATTTTGTTCGTGTTGTTGTATCTAGGGTATTTAATATCATTTGACGTACATATAGATCGAATCCAACTATACGAATTCGATAATGTTACACGGGTAATGTTATGTATGTTACAATGGTTTGCGCTAAAGGTACAGATGTTACACGGTTAGCATGCGTACAGATCGATGTCCAATATGTATAGTATTACGCTATCTAACGTAGTTGTAAATGCTGAGCTAATTGCAGCAACCCCTTAAGAGCGGGTAAAAACGTTGCAACTGCGGCAAACTCAGCGCCCGCAGCTAAAGCGCCGGCCTCATTACCCGCCCCTGCGAGATCCCCGCTCCCGGCCAGATCCGCGCAACATTGCAGGCGCGATATGGCGCCCTCCGATAACTGGACGAAATACATATTTTTACTAATCATTATTTAAATCTAAAGAAAAGTTCACTAGAAAAATCCACGCGGACCAGGCAGCGGACGGGACTCGAACCCGCATCCTTCCCTATCCGGACGAATGCACTGACCATTATGCTACCACGGCCCTATTAGCCGCATCGAAATTTTCCTAGCTTTAAGCTGCAAGGCAGCGCCATCTCTTCGCATTGTAGGCAACCCACAATGTCAAATGAATACTTTTTCAAGTATTAAACATTTGAAAGAAGAAATAGCAATTATAGTTATGATTTTATTTCTTTGTTAAGCATTTAACTGCTAGATGTAACTGCTAAAGAAAAGTTTACTAGAAAAAATTTTAATGTATGCGTGGATTTTTTTCTAGTAAACTTTTCTTTAGATTTAAACATCTAGCAGTTAAATGCTTAAAAAATAAATAAAATCATAATCATTATTTGCTTAGATTAAAACAAAAAGGGAAGATACGGCACTCGCGGCTCAAAAGTGTACCGCTTAAACTGTAGTCATCATCATCAGCCTATGTCCCCACTGCTAGGGCACAGGCCTTCCCTATGGATGGAATAGGGAGATTGGGCCATGACCCACCACGCGGGCCCAGTGCGGATTGGCGGGTGCTAACGACTGCAGATGCAGCCGGGACCAACGGCTTAACGTGCCTTCCGAAGCACGGAGGAACTCGAGATAGTTAATTTTCGGTCACCCATCCAAAGACCGACCACTGCGAAGGTTGCTTAAATTCAACGATCGCAGCTGAACGCGCTAACCATTTGCGTCATCGAGCTCCTCTGTAGTGCATGACCACAATTCGCTTTAGTTTCAATTGGACATTCAAACACGCTGCATGTGCACTCAATATAACAATATTGCGTATATTCTGTGTTATAAAGATAAAACAATGCCTTCGATGCTTTTAAACAGAATATAAATAGTTCAAGGTCAAATAACAAATTCCACTACAAGACTTTTCATTCGTAAAACTAAAAAAAAATTTTTTTTTTTCAAAATCATGGCTTATCCTGAATTTGACGACTCTGTATATAATACAGGGTGAAAAAAACAGCCCTTGCTGAGTTTCTTGCCGGTTCTTCTCAGTACAAGGTCTCCCGCCGTAGATTTGCGAACCGATGGCGTAGCTTTTCGACATTCACAAGTGCTTGTAACAGCCTTGACTGAATAAACGATATTGAATTTTGTTATTTAGTTATTCGCCATTTTTTATCAGGAAAAGGACAACAATACAGCTCAGCCGTTTGTGGAGAGAGAAAAGAAAACGCAGTCGGCTGCCAAGCGACGCGAACTCGACGTTTCGCTCGCGCTACGTTGAAGCGTACAGTTCTGTCTCGCTCGCTCGATTGAATGTTTATTTACAGACGAGTGCGTGTGTGAGAGTTGCTTATGTCGTTGAATCGGAGCAAACTTTATTGATGCTAACATGAGCGTACCGTATCTTTCGTTTTTGTTTTAATCTAAGGCTATTCTAAAATTTTATCTTTAGGACTGAATACAGTTCAATGTGTGCATGTGTAGCGACGAGCGTATCCACCATATATAGTAGATATTTTTGGGTCGCTTCTGTGCAGTTAATACGGTACCTAGGCGTGTATATAATAAAAGGATTTGACTCTCAGATATCAGACTCAAGTCGACAGGAAGCAGACAGATCACACTTAACATCAGAAGAGGTGGAGTATATCACGACCAGCCGCGTTGATAATCATAATCGCATTTAAATCTAAAGAAAAGCTTTACTAGAAAAAAGTTTTCAAATGTTTAATACTTGAAAAAGTATTCATTTGACATTGTGGGTTACCTACAATGCGAAGAGATGGCGCTGCCTTGCAGCTTAAGACTAGGAAAATTTCGACGCGGCCATCAGGGCCGTGGTAGCATAATTGGTCAGTGCATTCGCCCGGATTGCGAAGGGTGCGGGTTCGAGTCCCGTCCGCTGCCTAGTCCGCGTGGATTATTTTTCTAGTAAAACTTTTCTTTAGATTTAAACATCTAGCAGTAAATGCTTAAAAAAAACATAACCATAATCGCATTGCACTGTATTAAAAAATTGCATGAATTTCAAACTATTATTTTTTTCTAATTTATTTTACTAATAATTAGGTAACCTATTAGGTTTTCAATAAACAAAATGTGACCAAATTGTACTCACCCTATTCTCCCGCAGTAAGTCGTACAACGTTTCCAATCTTCTCTGCACGTCGTCTAACTTCCTCTTCATTTGCTGAGAACAAAGGAGAAAAACTAACTTAGGCATTACTTAAACATTCAAAGTCACCAATAATGCGTAGTAAATAAGGTCCTAATTTGAACGCATGCGTCAAAGAGCAGTGACAGTTCGAGATACGAGCTCGTAAATTTTTACCACTTAACAGGGGGGGGGGGGGGGGGGGGCAATGTTTTCTCCATACAAACGTCATCGACAGATTCCTCCATAATTTTTATCACTAAAGAAATGATTTTCATACATCACACTAAAAATATTATAAAGGCGAAAGTTTGGGAGTGTGCGAATGTGTATGTTTGTTACTTCTTCACGTCTAAACGGCTGGAGCGATTTTAATTAAATTTGGTATGTTGTTAGCTGACACCCTGGATTAAAACATAGGCTACGTTTTACTGCGGAAAAAATATCTCTAATAAACCGAAGGTTACACCGCGGGGCACAGCTAGTTAAAGTTTAATTTTACTAATTCTATGCTCCTATGTTTTCCTTTTTTCGATAACTTGTGTTTCAAATCAACTAGAAGCCCCCAAAAATGTCAAAAATAAACAATTTTTTAACACCACTAAAGACACCTGGTGTGGAGATTCAATAAGCATTTACAAAAAAAGCAAAACGTATAGGCGTAGTATAACTACTTATTATTCTATGGGTAAAATTTCTTTTACATGTATCTTATTTGCGAGGAGGAAATCGTCGAGAGCTAAACCTCGAAATTTGCAATTCTTAAGGGCCCCATATACGGAACGATTCGTCGTTGCGATCGATCTGAAGGAAATCGTCAACGATCGATCGTTCAGAAATGCCACTACACACACGAAACGATTGATCGTAACGATCTATCATTTACTTGTTTCAAACGGTAGGATAAAGACGTACTCAAATAATTCAATACTTGCCCTCTAAAATGGAAAACGAACTCATGATTGCATGAACGATATTCATGATTGCATGGGATTTGGTTGCGATTTGCGATATCGTCTTCGATTAAGTAAATCGTCAACGATCTTGACATACACTGTCGATCCATCGTTTCGATCGGTCTGAAACGACGGATCGTACAGATCAATCGTACCGTGTATGGGACACTGATGATCGATCGTTTACGATATTCATGATTGCATGGGTTTTTGTTGCGATCTCCGATATCGTCTGCGATTAAGTAAATCGTTAACGATCTTGACATACACTGTCGATCCATCGTTTCGATCGGTCTGAAACGACGGATCGTACAGATCAATCGTACCATGTATGGGACACTGATGATCGATCGTTTACGATATTCATGATTGCATGGGTTTTTGTTGCGATCTCCGATATCGTCTGCGATTAAGTAAATCGTTAACGATCTTGACATACACTGTCGATCCATCGTTTCGATCGGTCTGAAACGACGGATCGTACAGATCAATCGTTCCGTATATGGGCCCCTTTATAACCAATTTTCAGCGTTAGCTACTGTTGTTCCTATCGCACGGTATTTACCAATTCGAGACAACAATAGTTTTTTCAAATACCTATTTCTCAAATGTCTCTCAGTTCGCGTCCACTCTTTACAATGAAACAAACTCTTTTCACCTTATTCCAAAACGCGAACTGATGCTACCACTTTTGTTTGATAAAAAGAAGACAAAGACAGCATTATATTTAAACTAAGATTAACTTTAATCTACGTTTTCGAATAGGGCGGTTCAATTTTATAACATTAGTATAGATAATATCGACAGTGGACAGGAAAATGGCTCATACGCCACTTTGGTCGAAAATGAGTTATATATATGTATATCATTTTAATCAGATTTTTTGGAGAATCTCTTATCTATTAGACAAGTCCGTCCGTCTGTCTGTGGTGCTGTTTCAACGGCCAAACCGTAAGAGATAGATAAAGAGAATATTTAAGTTATAAGTTAAGAATAGTCTGATAAGACTACAAACCGGATTTGAGTAACGTAGTAGCACTTCCGGTTTTCGAGAAATCACGAATTTCAAACGAAACCACACAAAATCTCCGAAGTTCTCAATTAATTAAATACATTTTTTTTTAAATCAGGTTTTGGTGAACATTTGGTTCACTGGTTTGCTAGTATTATATATTAGATCTCACCGGTTGCGTGGCTCTCGCGTAGCATTCGTTCCTGAGAGATTCGAACACGTTGACCATCGAGGAGTATTGCTCGGGGATCGGTTTCTTGGCCGCGGGCGGCGGGGCTGCCACGGCGGGACTCTCCTGCAACGGAATAAGGGTCAAATTTCAACTCCGGATATAGGAAACATATTTGGTGTAACGATGGGTTCATGTCACTGGACTGACTCTCCTTCAAGATAAATAAATTTCTACTCTTAACCAGATGCTGAATGCACTGACCAATAATGCTACCGCGGCCCTCACGGACCGCGTCGAAATTCTCCTAGCCATTCTTAAGCTGCAAGGCAGCGCCATCTCTTCGCATTATAAGTAACATTTACATACATACATTCGCCCGGATTGCGAAGGGTGCGGGTTCGAGTCCCGTATGCTGCCTGGTCCGCGTGGAATTTTTTCTAGTTATATTTTCTTTAGATTTAAACATCAAGCAGTTACATGCTTTAAAATAATAAAAATTATAACAGATGCTGAATGTTCGCACGGAACAAATTGCAGAATAAAAAAAAACAACTCCGAAGGCAAGAATAAGCGTCAGTTAACGGCCGGGCTTTAAATTAGTCATGATTCAAGTGTTGCTATTAATTTGTTTCGATAATAATAATAAATATTTGCAACACTCACACTAATTATGTCAAACTAGCGGCCCGCCCGAAGTGTAGACTACAGTTTTTGTTCTCAGGCTTGTATTATACACAATGACATTCATTTATGATTCTTCTTATACCTGCATGCAAAGTCTCAGCCCGATCGGTTTAAAGTTGACAAAGTTTCATACAAACTTTCATTCCCTATTTTATCCCCTTGGGGGTAGAATTGATCAAAATCCTTTCTTAGCGGATGCCTACGTCATAACATCTACCTGCATGCTAAATTTCAACACGATCCGTCCAATGGTTTAGGCTGTGCGTTGATAGATCACTATGTCAGTCAGTCAGTCACCTTTGAGTTTTATATATATAGATATATATACTGAACAAAAGTAAATAAAAATAAATAAATAAAAATTAATAAACCTCGCTTTAAGATTTAAATTTCTAGTTATATTTTCTTTAGATTTAAACATCAAGCAGTTACATGCTTTAAAAATAATAAAAATTATAGATTTAAATTACTTGTAATCCTAGGATAAGTTGACAAGTTCTTGTATTATAGATACTTATCTGAAACCTTTAAATCGATATGAATCTATACTTTAATGTCACTAGTTACAATGTATCTGTAATTACCCGTCCTTGCTGCTGATACTGCTGATTCATTTGTTCCGGATAGTGTTGAGTTCCGGGCGGGTATTGCGTTTGATTCACCCCTTGCGCCGGATACTGCCCGGGCATTTGTTGACCCGGGTATTGTCCGGGCATCTGTTGTCCCGGGAACTGCCCGGGTATCTGTTGACCCGGGTACTGTTGTCCCGGGTATTGGCCGTATTGAGGCCCGGTTAAAGGCACATGTTGTGGAGGTTCTACGCCGAATAGAGGATGCGTGATCGGCGCTTGCGCAGGTACTTCTTGTTTTGGCTGAAATGACACATTTTAGTATAAACTTTGTCGTAATTTGAGAAATTGTCGGTGGATACATGTAGTCTTCGGTTAAATCATATTTTAAGTTAAACTATGATATTTGTTTCTTAGGTTTTCACGTACATCACTAATTCAATAAAACAAGTTCCAACGGGTTAGATGCACTGATTTTATTTATTTTTTGATGTTTCCCACCCTTTGCAGAAATACTAATTTAATTAATAAAGTACTTTATTTCATTTATATTATTTTGAGTTTATTTATTTGACCCTAACTACCATAAACTAAACTCAAAATTATAAAAGGAATTAAATAAAGTACTTTATTAATTAAATTAACTAATAATTCAAGCATAGACAAAAAATCTTCCAATGAAATATCCGAACGCTCAATAGCAGTCTTTTGAAGGTAGCTCGACAAAGTAAATAAAAAATCATTATTCTGACGACGCTTTCCTGCAACGGATGCGAAACGTCAATAAATTAATAAAATAAATGCATCTAACCCGTTAAAACTTGTTTTATTTAAACTATGATGCCAGCACTTCACTTGGCAATAGGGATGATGACTAATTTTTTTTTTCGTTTATCAGGTAGATTATCGAAAAGTATTGGACACGTATTTTTTCTTTTTTCACATAATATAAACATTGCGGAGATATATTGATTTGAAAAGTCGCATGACGTCACGTTTTACAATTAAACAAGTACAATTTTCACTCAAAAGTAAGGTCACGAGCCCCTACTCCCAAAATTTGACGCGCTATAACTTTGTCATTTTTTAGTTGATTTCCCAAAGAAAAAATACGTGTAAATTATTTTTTGATCATCTAACTGACGGACTAAATAGAATTTCGTTTACTGTACCCCGTCATCACCCCTATTCGTATTTGCTACTTGTATATCTGATGTCATGGTAAAAACTATCAAACGACCTTATTCAGGTTAAGTGAAAGCATGATAAAAAAAAGTTCAACATTTGGTTTTGAACATTTCAGAATGGTGGAGTCCTCAGTTATATCTTTATAGTTAATTTCAAATTGGACTTAAAAAATAAATAAATTAAAAAATATATATATTAATATATATATATATATATATATATATATATATATATGATTAGCAAGATGTATATATATATATATATTAATGTTTAATATACATATTTAATGTTCAATATTTTTTTTATATTTATTATTATTAAATTTAAATTATTTTAATAATAAATTTCAATGTTTTGGTAGTTTTGACAGAGAAACACTTTTCAGTTTACTTTCAACCCTTAATAAATCTTTCATGTGAGATAACATTTCATTCATTCGATTAGTGAAAACCAAGTTTTTTTTTTCAAAAAAAAAGCATTTTCTACGAAAAACAACAATGTTAAACAAGAAATTCAAAAAATCATAACATAACACAACCTTTTATACTCCTTTTGTTTAATTTATCGACTTTTGTTTGTTAAATAGCCACTCATAAATTAAGCTTATTTACTAGCGAAATTTTCACTGAAAAATTATTAACTTCTGTGATAAACGTCCTAACAAGACCACAGAAGTTACTCCTTTTTGAATTCGGTTAATAACAAACCATGCCGCAGCGAATGAACACAACGAGGTAATTTAGTAACAAGACGTCAATCGGCAGGTAAATACAATACAGATGATTGGAAAACGAGGGGCACACACATTATAATGGGAAGATACGTGAAATAGGGATGACGACAAACTATTTTTTTCGTCTATTGATTATCAAAAAGTATTGGACACATATTTTTTAAAGAGAATTTTACTAGAAAAAAAAAATGTTTTTTCTTTAGATTTAAACATCTAGCATTTAAATGCTTAAAGAATCGAAAAATATAACTATAATTGCTATTTCTTCTTTCAAATGTTTAATACTTGTAAAGGTATTCATTTCACATTGTGGGTTACCTACAGGGTACTGGGTAGTTTGGGTCTGGGTCTTTTATCTATAGATAAAATAGATAAAAGATTTTTGGTGACCCATCCAATGCCCGACCACTGCGAAAGTTGCTAAACTTCAACGATCGCAGCTGAACGCGCTAAACATTCAGGTTTTGGTATAATTTTTACTTAAAAGCCCCCACTCCCAAACTTTAACGCGCTTGATTTTTGCATTTTTTTTTTTATTCATAGGCCAAAGAATACATAGTTGTCCAATATTTTTTGATAATCTAACTGAAGTACTATATATATAATTTCATTTTGTTTACCCCGTCGTCACCCCTGTTTGATGCGAACCACGGCATGTTTCGTGTTATATACCTCGTCGTGTTGCCGCCTGTGTTGTATAATGTTACTCCATTGCCTGGTGCCCGCGTGTAACGCTGACATATCACTCTCGTAACTACACTAAAGGCACATTGGTTTTTTTTATATTCTTTTCTCGACACGCATTCATCATCAGCCTAATGCCCCTACTGCTGGGGCATAGGCCTCCCTATGGATGGAATAGGGAGATTGGGGCGTGACCTACCACGCGGGCCCAGTGCGGATTGGCGGGTGCTAACGACTGCAGATGCAGCTGGGACCAACGGCTTAACGTGCCTTCCGAAGCACGGAGAAACTCGAAATAAAAGATTTTTGGTCACCCATCCAATGACCGACCACTGCGAAACTTACTTAACTTTAACGATCGCAGCCGAACGCGCTAACCACCTGCGCCATCGAGCTCCTCAACAACACGCATCACTAATATAAAATTTTATTTTGAAAGTACTAAGTATACTCATGTCATGGGAGTGCATAAAAAATACTAGTCCACCATGACTGGATTTAAAATACCATTTAATGGTGTCGATACTGGCATGATTCTCTGAACCTAAAACTAAATTTAACATCAGTCTCCCTTTTTCATTCCGTATAGCTTTAGAGAATAGTGCCAGAATCTAGACACTATTATCATCCAAAGTTTCGCTTTAAAAATTCAGTTGCAAGACTATAAAAAATTATGTTTACATACATTGTAAACTAAATTAAATAAAAGCTTTTCAAGAATTTAAAAAAAAAACTAATGCCGGCGCTTCACTTGGTCATTCATGTTTGCTGTATGTAAACCTGACATCAGTCTGTCCTTTTCATTCCTCATAAAGCATGATAAAGACACTGTTGTCAAGTTTACAAATAGTAAATATGAAGCCAAGTGAAGTGCACGAAATAAATGTTTGACATTAGAGGGAGTACGTATAATGTTTATGTAAGACCAGCACCCGCTAGTCAAACCTCGCGACTTTGTCTCCTTGGAAAAATGGTCCTACCCTCCTTTCACCTCTTTAAAGGACGTTTTGTCTGTGTCCTGCAACATTCAAACTCTGTACTCAAATTGTGTCTATAACAAATTCCATCTAAATCGATTCAGTGGTTTAAGCGTGAAAAGGTCACACTTTATGTATTAGCATATACAGTATTTTTTGTTATTAGCGGAATTGCTACCATGTAGCTTGTTTTTTGCGAGTTCCCTATAGTGAGAACGTGCACAATGGTACGGGTATCGAATGCAATAAAAGACTTCAGTCGTACGGTAGACCGATATGTCTTCCAAAAACAGCCTACCCGCAATAGGGTATTTGACAGTATTAAAAAAAATGTACCAATTGTTGGCATCCGTGTTTAACATCAATTTGCATTAGCAGCTATATAACTATTCTGAAAGAACAAATAATTAATAAACTTTCTATAAAATCATTAAATAGAAATGATTATTTTGCTCCATGGTCACGTGACCGATAACGCTTGGAATTGGCCAAAACTAAAATGAAGTCACACGCTAGTAAGCTTCCGGCCAAAGTGAGTTGAGTCTTAGTCTAAAACTTGTCAAATATCCTATAGGGTATTTGGGAAGTTTTATAAAACGTTCCACTCACGTTTACACCGTTATTTATTAATGTTTATGGAGTACATAAAAAGATATTCATCATTCTGCTCGGGATTGCAGTAAAAAAAACTAAATCATTAATACAATTTTAAAGTTGCCGCGAAAACGTTTCTCTGGACATTATGAAGTCTCACTGCTATGTGACGTCACACATTAAAACGGCAAACGATGCAATATAATGTCACTTTGACAGGAAGTTTAATAGCGTGTGACGTCATTTTAGTTTCCACCAATCCCAGGCGTTTTCGGTCACGTGGCCACGATAAACGAAAAAAATCATTTCTATTTAATGATTTTATAGAAAAGTTATTAAATATTTGTTGTAGTAAAATTAATTTCTCACACTGTCAAATAGCCTGTTACTTCAAACACTCCATGATCATGGCGCTTGAAACAGTTAAATATCGTTTCCGTTAATAACAAAAAATACTGTAATGTGAGTGACATGAAAGTTTATAACAATATAACATATTATGGGTATAGTACTGACCTTTGGCTTAGCAGTAAGCATAGGAGGATCGTTCCATCCAGGAGCTGCAGGTTTAATAGGCTCCGCTTCTACTGCCTGATTATAATAGCTGCCATTCATAGTGGGATTCAATTGATTCACAGGGTTCAACGGCGCTTGATTCACGGGGTTCATTTGATTGACAGCGTTTAATGGCGCTGGGTTTATAGGGTTTAAGGGTGCGGGGTTCATTGGGTTTATGGGGTTCATAGGATTGAGAGGATTGGCAGAGTTCAAGTTGTTGACGGGCGCGAAGCCAGGGTTAACTACGCTCGTTGAACTGGAAACAAATGTGTTATGATAGTGGTGTGAAGTGAATCTTCTGATACTATTTAATGATTTTTTTTTAAATTAACAATTTGCAAGGAAAATACTATCTTTATGAATATAATAACCAAATTTTGGAACTGATGGTAGTTTACGGAAGTTAGAGTAAAAAAAAATACTTTATTAATTAAATTAGCTAGCAAAATCATATATAGCCGATAAAGTTTTCAAAAAGCTTCTAATTAAATATCCGAACGCTCAATAAGTCTTTCGAAGTTAGCTCGACAAAGTAAATGAAATCATAATTCTGACGACGCAGCCTGAATGGATGCGAAATGTCGTAAATAAATAAATCAGTGCATCTATACCGATGAAACTGGTTTTATTATTATATTTTAAAACATGGCGGATTTTCCGCTGAATTAAAACGTGTTTGGTAACCCATAACTTACAAAACAGTAAAAAAAATGATCGTTTTAAAAATTACCTGTTTAGAAAGTCCTTTACTGTGTCGGTACAAAGTTAAGTGAGAACTTATAGTCTGTTCATTCTATTGATAACTTTTTGACAGATCGATCGAAAACAGTGACACCCTATCACATAACTCGTTCGATTTAAAGCTATAATCGATTTTATACTAGAACATTGTTTAATCGATTATAAGTATCGAAATTATTTTGGTTATCAAAAATACTGGTGTTTAATAAATTATTACAAAATCTCATCAAATTTATTATTTTACCCTTTAGTTCTCGTTTATTATTTTTTCTTAGTACAAATATTTGTGTGATGAGCACGAGTATTTGTTCTGTGTCTGGGTGTGATTTATCTACATATTATATATATATATACATATTATAGATTATTATATATTATAAATATATATATATATATATATATACAATAAAAAAGCAGTATAATTTTTATGTTTGTTTATCCTAATACTAATACTCTGTACAATTAGATTTATTGATTATAATTAATAACTTCATTTAAAAAAAGGTTTATTAAAATCTTTGACTTTTTTCCATACAATTTGGTTGTACTCATTTATTTCTACCGATTATTTGTAATCTGTGGCACAATCTTAGTAATCATTATGTGTGGCACATCACTAAGTGGGCGGTACCCGTCCATGAAGTACGATATTATTTGTATGACATTTTAACGTAAACAATACAAAATTTCATGGGCGTCGATCTGTCAAAAAGATAATAACAGAATGGACAGACTATAGTATGTAGTGTTTTTACATTCTCTTTTTGTATTTAACTTTTTTTTAACTCAAATGGAAATGTACATTTTGCATCGCATATGGCTACATAGGCTTTAAGTTAAGTTTAATTTGTATCAACATCATTTTAATTTACCAAAATTGTTTAATGATAAATAAAATATTTGATTTGAACTTACTTATACTGATCAGGCAGAGGACTGTTGTACCCGTACTGTTGTTGTTGTTGTTGTTGGTTGTTAAAGTTGTACTGGTTATAGAGCGGTGCAGAAGCAACCGAAGGATCGACTTTGTATTTAGATCGACTCGACAATCCACCTGAATCATAGGAAAGATTTATCGTAAAAGGAAGTTTTGTATGAGCGACTGCCCTGGCAATGTATAAATTCTGTACTTAGTAATACTTAATGGTAAATGGCTGAATATTTATAATTTCTATGAGAAAATGCTTGGGAACTATTGATAAAGTCACAATGTTGAAAATTATGAAAACTCCTACTATGTCATTACCATACTACGGTCGATGAAAGTTGTATGAGAATAATAAACACGTAATAATTAATAAAAAAAATATAGTACTGCTATGTGTTTAAAATAATTAAACCCTTTATTCTAATAATACTAACTAGCAAACCAGTGAACCAAATGTTCACCAAAAAAAAAAATATGTATTTAATTAATTGAGAACTTCGGAGATTTTGTGTGGTTTTGTTTGAAATAGAAATCACGTGATTTCTCGAAAACCGGAAGTGCTACGTTACTCACATCGGGTTTGTAGTCTTATCAGACTATTGTTAACTTATAACTTAAACATTCTCTATATCTATCTCTTACGGTTTGGCCGCTGAAACAGCACCACGGACGGACGGACGGACTTGTCTATTAGATAAGAGATGCTTTTACATTTTGAAGTTTATCCTTCCTCGAAGCCTAAACCACTTTGAAATTTGGTAAGTATGAAAGGTTGAAGCTTTGGGTTGCTATAAGCTACTTTTTTACTCACTATGTCAAAAGAGGATGATAGCCTCAAATAGGAAAACCACGCGAGCGTCGCCGCGGGTAACAGCTAGTAATTAATAAAAAAATATTGTAAAGTTACGGGCTAGTGTGAAATATTTATACACGTTAAGGGCATTTTCTTAGCCATGTCCTTAGTCACACAGATTGTAGATTTCGCCCTATTCCTAAACTTTAACCCCCTTATTAATAAACAAGGAATAAGCTTGGACTAGTTACGCCGTATTTTGTTCATGTCACTCAAATGTCATTTGTCATTCAATAGACAGAGACAAAACATGGAGTAACTAATCCGAGCGTAGTCTTTGTTTATTAATAAGGGGGTTATTATTGAAAACATTGACGTTAATACGTTCTACATACATATAAAGTATTTTTTTTCTGATTTCATTTTTTATCGATGTTCTAAACAACCGGGTGGTATGTAAATTATGTTCATCATCAGCCTATTAATGTCCCCACTGTTGGGGCACAGGCCTTGCCTATGGGTGGAATAGGGAGATTGGGCCATGACCCACCACGCGAGCCGTGTGGATTGGTGGGTGCTAACTACTGCAGATGCAGCCGGGACCAACGGCTAAACGTGCCTTCCGAAGCATGAAGGTCTCGAGATAGTAAACTTCCGGTCACCCGTCCAATGACCGACCACTGCGAAAGTTGCTTAACTTTAACGATCGTAGCCGAACGCGCTAACCACCCGCGCCATCGAGCTCCTCGATGTAAATTATGTAATATGGCTAAATCTGCAATGTACTTGTTATGTTACACTTTGCCCACTTGTTACGATTATACCTTTTTTTCGCAGAATCTCGTGTGATTTTTTTAACACATACTAATGAAATCATAATTAAATCACGAAATATAAGAAAAAAAAATGGGTGCGTGTACTTATGTAGGCGCGTGAGAAGTTATCCTTCTTTGGCATCGTTTAAAATTAGTTTTTAATTGCATGCAAATAATTAATTACAATAAATTAATAAAAAGTCTGGAAAAGGACACAGTCAATAAAGTTCAGTTTTAATTTGAAAAAATAAATAAATAATCAAAATATTCAATTAAAATCGCTACTGAATATAATTGATTAGAACATATGTGATTTGCACTTGTATGAAACTCAAACACGTATTCCGAATATACAAACTAGAAACATGTGGATAAATATTATAAATATGAATACCTATAACTGTTACTTTATTACAAAAAATAAAGATGTGGTTTTTGGTTCTACTACACCAATGGTCAAGAGATGGCGCTGTAGTCTCCTGAATCGCGCTTTGGTTCCGTTGTTCCAGATTAATAAATTTGATAGGCCTTCACAATTCAGTCGTTAGCACCCACTTAATAGAGATTCTATTTCTATTTTGTTGGTAGATTTTCTTAATGTGCGGTAAACACAAAAGTAACAGCATGAAGTTGGTCGCTTTAGTCGTTGGTTGGTTTAACTTCATGCTGTTAATAATTTGTGTTACAGTGATGCGCGCGCATCTTAAAATTTCACTCTCATCAATTTTTCATAACGCGCCTAAAGAAGTATAACTTCAAAAAAATCTATCTGTTACGGAAACGCGGGAAAATGGTGTTTGATATACGGAACACTACTAATGTGTACTGCTATTTATCGCATATTTATAGAACTTACTTGAGACAATAATTCACGAGTTTCTGATACAATTTGAAACGTAAAAGTTAACATAAAATTCATTTAAATAATAGAATAAACAAACCTACTTTCCTTTAGATCGCTTTCCATCATATCTAATACAATTTACTTACCAGACTGCGGGCCAACACTCCCCGGCCGAGGGGGAGGTTGTAACGGCTGAGGTTGTAACTGTGCAGGTTGTAACTGGGCGGGTTGTAACTGTGCAGGTTGTAATGGCGGCGGGTAATTATTGTGCGACTGGAATGAGCTGTTGGCTGGCACTGACGACTGCTGCCACGGCTGGTGTTCGTATGGACCCGATACTATGAAACGAAAAGAATATAAATAAAAAAAATATATATATTTCCCACACTCACACTAATTGGCCTCAAAGTACCACGGAGGTAGCCAATTACTAAAACGTCAATGACCATGAAAGTTTAAAACAATATACAGGGTGTTAAAAAACCTTTAACGAAGTCGAAAGCCACGTATTTTCCATATCATGACGATCATATTTTCTTCTGGACCATACTTGGGAAATTTATGGTTATGGAGATATTAAAGGTTAAAGTAAATTTTTTTTTTTCGAGATTTATACATTAATATTTTCAAAACGTTATTTAGAAACTTTTTATCGACGCACTTACATACACATACACACAGACACACATACAGACATTCTTTGCGTAACGCCACAGTAGCGCGCAGCGCTATACATTGCGTACTGGAAAAAAAAAGTATTTTTTTTAACTTAAAAATACAAATGATTCCCACGTATAATATTTTGTAATATTACTTGTTTGGGTGTACAGAATGCGTAGTTTTTAGTATTTGTCATAGGTTTTTTACACCCTGTATTATGTTTATTCTCAGGCCAGGTAGCTGCGCGAATGATACTCTGGTCAATCAAGAGTGTAGAACAATACAGAAAATTAATGCAATTTTTTATTATTAGACAATATAAGTAAGTAAAAAACGATGAAATAGAAGGAAACTCACCAGTATTGTAAGCGTTTTGGTTGTGTGGGACAGATTCTCGTCTGTTCGAATGCGTCGAAACTGTGCGGTTGCGATTGTACTGACCCACTTGAGGCTGCTAAAATTATTAAATAAACACTTGTAATATGTTAAATTCAATTAAAGTAAATATACTCCCGAACTCATCTATCGGCCCACCTAACATTTTGAGTTTTGACCTACATTTATGGTTTTGACGGTCCCTAGCTAAAATAGATGTTACATTGAGCAGAAAGCTTTTACGCAGTTTTGAAGCCGATTTATTAACAATCATTTTCGTGTGTATAATCAGATCAAATCAAATCATAAGCTACTAGAGTGTTCATCTAACGTTTCTAAGAACGGAAAAAATATTGATATGCCGCGGTTTGCATGATATAGGGGTGGCCGAACGAAGGAGTAGAATATAGGATAAAAAAACCGAGCGCGTCAGACATTGAGAAGGGATGTTACGTGAACCCTCCAGTAGCTCCTAGTCATGGCTTGCTAGTCATTTTTTAAGCATGTAACTGCTTGATGTTTAAATCTAGATAAAATTATGCCTAGAAAAGAATCCACGCGGACCAGACAGCAGACGGGAACTCGAACCCGAATCCTTCGCTATCCGGGCGAATGCACTGACCAATTATGTTAAGTAATATTTTCTTCAGTTCTTTAAAGTTATAAAGACCTAAAACTTATATAACCTATAATACCTGTATTTAAACAACAAAATCATCATCATCATCATCATCATCATCAGCCTATTAATGTCCCCACTGCTGGGGCACAGGCCTTCCCTATGGATGGAATAGGGAGATTGGGCCATGACCCACCACGCGGGCCCAGTGCGGGTTGGTGGGTGCTAACGACTGCAGATGCAGCCGGGACCAACGGCTTAACGTGCCTTCCGAAGCACGGAGGAGCTCGAGATAGTAAATTTTTGGTCACCCATCCAATGACCGACCACTGCGAAAGTTGCTTAACTTCAACGATCGCAGCCGAACGCGCTAGCCACCTGCGCCATCGAGCTCCTCGATTACAACAAAATAACACTTATAAAACAGTGAATGCATGACTCACCTGTCGCTGTTCCTGCAGTAGCCCCAACGCTTTGGCCAGTCGTTGTTTGAGCTCCGTATGCGCGGCGCCTTCTAAAGAATTGAACGCGCTCTGCAGGCAGCCCTGCGCCGACAGCCGGTACGCGTATTCCTCCAGTACGGCTTCTAGTTTACCGCACTCCTGGGTCACAGGTAAAAATAATCATTATTCATTTAAAATTCAAAAAAATTCAATATCGTTTATTCAGTCTAGGCTGTTACAAGCACTTGTGAATGTCGAAAAGCTATGCCGTCGGTTCGCAAATCTACGGCGGGAGACCTTGTACTGAGAAGAACCGGCAAGAAACTCAGCAAGGGCTGTTTTTTTTCTCCCTGTATTATATACAGAGTCGTCAATTTGAAAAATGACTTCAATATGAGATAACTCATGAAGTCACTTTCCATTACAAATGTAAATGATAAAACAATTATGACTATAAAATAAAAAAATATAAACTACAGATTTAAAAATAAAAACAAGTTTAGGAATGCCGTGTCCTACTGTTTAGGCATAAAAACAAATGTACCATTAAAGTTAAATACAACGATTAATGCATCCAAATGTAGCAAGAGCAGACTCATCTCCGCTGGCAGCACCCGTTCACGAGCATGACGCATGAACCAGCCATCGCTTCGCTCAACCATATTTTAGGGAACGCAACGACCCGCCTCACATGACGTTTAGATTTGAGGAGCTGGATGGCGCAAGTTTTAGGCATAGAGAATCATGCCAGAATGGACACCATTAAAAGGTTAGCTAAGTGACGTTATTCTAAATCCAGTCATCGCGGACTTGTCAGGGTGATTGGGCCATGACCCACCACGCAGACCCAGTGCGGATCGGTGGGTGCTGACGACTGCAGGTGCAGCCGGGACCAACGGCTTAACGTGCCTTCCGAAGCACGGAGAAGCTCGAGATAGAAAAATTTTGGTCACCCATTTAATGACCTATTACTGCGAAAAATGCTTAACTTGAACGATCGCAGCCCAACGCGCTAACCACCTGCGCCATCGAGCTCCTCTCATAATATCTATAACCCTTTGAAAATCCAAAAAATATTATTTCCTAAGGGACTTTCAAAAAACTAAATTCAACGCTAAGACAAAAGCACTGCACGCAGCATACAGACCTGGTCCCGCCTCCCTCTACCCGCCGCGGCCCTCCTAGCTAGCAGCCCTCGCTCCGTCAGAGCGGCCAGAGACGCAGCATACAGACCTGGTCCCGCCTCCCTCTACCCGCCGCGGCCCTCCTAGCTAGCAGCCCTCGCTCCGTCAGAGCGGCCAGAGACGCAGCATACAGACCTGGTCCCGCCTCCCTCTACCCGCCGCGGCCCTCCTAGCTAGCAGCCCTCGCTCCGTCAGAGCGGCCAGAGACGCAGCATACAGACCTGGTCCCGCCTCCCTCTACCCGCCGCGGCCCTCCTAGCTAGCAGCCCTCGCTCCGTCAGAGCGGCCAGAGACGCAGCATACAGACCTGGTCCCGCCTCCCTCTACCCGCCGCGGCCCTCCTAGCTAGCAGCCCTCGCTCCGTCAGAGCGGCCAGAGACGCAGCATACAGACCTGGTCCCGCCTCCCTCTACCCGCCGCGGCCCTCCTAGCTAGCAGCCCTCGCTCCGTCAGAGCGGCCAGAGACGCAGCATACAGACCTGGTCCCGCCTCCCTCTACCCGCCGCGGCCCTCCTAGCTAGCAGCCCTCGCTCCGTCAGAGCGGCCAGAGACGCAGCATACAGACCTGGTCCCGCCTCCCTCTACCCGCCGCGGCCCTCCTAGCTAGCAGCCCTCGCTCCGTCAGAGCGGCCAGAGACGCAGCATACAGACCTGGTCCCGCCTCCCTCTACCCGCCGCGGCCCTCCTAGCTAGCAGCCCTCGCTCCGTCAGAGCGGCCAGAGACGCAGCATACAGACCTGGTCCCGCCTCCCTCTACCCGCCGCGGCCCTCCTAGCTAGCAGCCCTCGCTCCGTCAGAGCGGCCAGAGACGCAGCATACAGACCTGGTCCCGCCTCCCTCTACCCGCCGCGGCCCTCCTAGCTAGCAGCCCTCGCTCCGTCAGAGCGGCCAGAGACGCAGCATCCCTGCCGGTGTTGGCCCACCTCGCGACCAGCCTGTCCGTACTCATGGAGCACAGGTAGCAGATGGACGCGGCCTCTTGGAGAGACGGCTCCGATTCTGAGGCCAGCTTGTCGCCTAGCATTTCTGTTAACGAATATTATAGTCATCGTTTAATGAGTGGTCAGCGTGAAAACTTAAGAAACAAATATTATTAAATAAAACTAGTTTTAACGGGTTAATGCAAGAATTTTTTTTTATTTATTGACGTTTCGCAGCCTTTTCAAGTCTGCATCGTCGGAATAATGATTTTTTTGTTTACTTTGTCGAGCTACCTTCGAAAAACTTTTATTGAGCGTTCGGATATTTCATTGGAAGATTTTTAAAATTTTATTGTCTATGTATGAATTTATTAGTTAATTTAGTTAATAAAGTACTTTATTTAATTTTTTTTTTTGTAATTTTCAGTTTATTTACCCTATTGACCCGTTTATTGACCCTTACTACCGTAAACTACCACCGGTTCCGAAATTGGGAGACCTTTCTGTGAAGAACCGACGAAACAAACTCAGAGAGGCTTTCTATCTCCTTCTTATTTTCTATATATTAAATCATGCAAACAAAAAGAACTAATAGTATCTGTTAGTCTTGCAGTGTGTCAAAGTAAATTAATCAAGTTCGTGCATTAATCCGTTAAAACTAGTTTTATTTAACTAAAACTAGATTCATCCCATACGATGATGTTAAATTGACATTTTTCTATGGATTACATTAAGTTTTATTTAAATCGAGATTTAGCAAATTTACTGCAAGCGCACCTTGGAATCTTCCCGCGTCTGAGTGATATACTCTTTTCACCACCACCGTATACTAACCACAGTACTGAGGCAACGCATCATTGTCACAATGCGTCAACAATGTAGCCAGTGTATGTCTCCAACTAGCCGAGGCAGCGGACTGCACCATCAACTCCCAGCCGCCCTGCAATATGCTGCGAGCGACCAGCGACACGGGATCTTGGCCCGTATGCCGCAAGTGATACTGCTGAACTTTGTATACCAGCTCTTGGCTGCCTGTCGAACGTTAAGAAACACTAAAGAAAATATTACTAGAAAAAATTCCACGCGGACCAAGCAACAGACGGGACTCGAACCCGCACCCTTTGCTATCCGAGCGAATGCACTGACCAATTATGCTACCGCGGCCCTGACGGCCGTGTCCAATATTCTCTAGCGTTAGGCTGCAAGGCAGCGCAATCTCTTCGCATTGTAGGTAACCCACAATGTTAAGAAACACTTTATATCCAAAACTCTCGATATTTAGTTTTAGTATTTAAAATTTTCTCTAATATGTGCAACCAATTAAAAATGTTAATGAAGCATCACTCTCTCAAATGGCCACCGAAACATGGTACCAAACTAAAACAATTTTAATACTGACACACACAAAAAATAATTTCATAAATTAAATATCTTCAAATGAATTCGGCTATCCATTCATTGTTTTAGAATGTCAAACGGAAATAGCAACCAATGCCATGATTGGCGAATTTCTAATACATTGAATACGTGAGTTAAAATTAAAGGTATGAATTGTTCAGCATTAATATGGGGTGCAAGTTTATGTAATACGAAAATTGCCAATATTCATATGTAAGTTGCCATTTCTATTCTGTCGTTTATTTATGGTATATAAATTAGTATATATATTTAAATACAATTAGCGAGGTAAGGATACCAATTGTCGTAGTCTAAGATTTCTATTTGAGAGCTCTTGTCGGTGAAACAATTACCATCACTTTTTCATTGCCTTGGGGAGTGTCTGCTGATAAACTTCTTGATAGCTGTAGGAAGGCCTAAGGGGAAGATCTTCCTCCGAGCTGGGTGATGTTAGCTCGGGGGCCGCGGCCCAACTGATGTTGGTCGGGCATCGTATATATAAAGAGTTAGCCTCCGAATTTCATTTGCGCGATGTAGGCTTCCAAACTATTAGGATCGCAGTGCAGGTAACGCCATCTCAATTTAAATGATAGATAAACTATAAATGTAGAAAACTTTATCAGGAACCTGTAACTGACCCTTTGACATCTTGACATACGACATTTACCTTCTCTTTTATTTCGTAAAAATATTTTTTCTACATCTTCTACAATTTGCTCCCTATTTACCCTATATTAATTGCAAATTATTGTTTTTATAGCATTTTTACAATAAACTTTTAATTGATTTAACGATATTCGGTTTTTTACCCCCATGCTTTTTAAAACAACAAATGTCTAATTAAAAAAAAACATTATAACACCCGTTTGGTTGCTTTTTTTTTATTGTTGTAGTAAATTTTCATAACACTCTTTCACTTTTTTATTCCCTTCCACGCCAAGGGCTTACTTATCAGACAGCCACAATTTTCACTGCTCTATGCTATATAAGAATATTGTCATTCAAGCGCGATTCACTACCACAACGCCGAAACTTTTTATGAATTTTAAGTTCTCAGAACGCCCCATACTTTGACAATCTTTAATAGAGGAATCATATCCTGGGTATCTAGTATGCAACTGTTATAATTAGATATTAAACACTCATGTGATACTATTACCACCCACATTCGTGTTTAAATATCCCTCATTGTACAAATGTTGCATAAATAACTATTATGACTTACCCAGAGATGCTATGATAAGAGCATCGGCCACTCGCTTCGCTTCCAAACACAGTTCTACAGCTTCCTCCAAATTGCCGCAGACGAGGGCTCGGCATATCAAACTCGTTGAATCTACAAAACAATGGGTTTTATCCAAAACATTTCTGACTACGACAGCGCCATCTGTTGACACTGAAAGTGTACTAAAACACACGTTGACTACAGATTGCATAAATTTTATATATTTATTGCTATCGGTTTCGGAAACATACTTTTTATTAAACATACCGAGTTGGAAATCTGAAAACTTCTAAAAAAAGTCCTTAAATGGATACCTGTATCCTAACATGGGGATTAACAAGGAGTTCAATGGTGCAAGTAGTTCGCAATCAGCTGCGATCGTTGAAGTTAAACAACTTTCGCAGTGGTCGGTCATTGGATGGGAGACCAAAAATTTTGTATCTCTCATTCCTCCGTGCTTCGGAAGGCACATTAAGCCGTCGGTCCTGGCTGCGTCTGCAGTCGTTAGCACCCACCAATACGCCATGGGCACGCGCGAGTCACGGGCCAATCTCCCTATTCCATCCATAGGGGAGGCCTGTGCCCCAGCAGTAGGGACTTTAGTAGGCTGATGGTGGTGAACCTAAAATCTAAGATTTCTGTGTTCTCTTAATAAATATACAGTTACAATTAACTTTTCTGTGTATATAACTCACCCTCGCCGTTAGGTATAACGACGTTGGACACCGCCGGCCCGCTTATATCGATATTCGCTAGTTTCCTTTCAATCAACGTGTGGGCATCCTGTGCAAAGACACCAATTAAAATTAATTATAATCTCACGTATACCGAAGGTGACCAATCAAAATTGAGCTGTGCTCTGATCCATCTTACAGGCAATGGGGATCAGTACCACCAGCACGCACCAATATCGAATTCGTATCGTTTACGAGTCCGAAATGTCATTGTCAAATGTGTACTGAGTTTTAGTTCTCGTTACGTACTTTGTGCCACTGCTGTTCAAGTTTCCATACAAAATTTGACATTGACATTTCGGTTTACAAACTATTCGAATTCGATAATAGTTCGTGCTAGGGGTACTGACCTAAACACAGCCACACAAAATGGAGTGCAGCACACACTGTTTGTTTCCTCATTATAATCTAAGGCTCGTATTACAGAATGACAACTAAATGATGATCTTTACTTAAGTGAGTACAGTTAGAAAGGGATGTCGCTATGTGCAGCACATAGCGACATCTTTTTCTAACTGAGGAGCTGGCGAACAAAACGGTATAATTACTTCAAATATAATTTTTACAGGAGCAGTAAAAAACCGAATGTCATACCTACAATGAGCTTATGGCGTCATTTTTAATTTAGTTATTTTAACACTATACAGGGTGTTACAAAAATACAAATAAAACTTGAAGGGCGTTGAAGTACATCATATAAGGAGTCTTCTCTAATTTTCTTAAAATATTTGCATGTAGTTTTAACTTTTTATAAAAACAGTTATTTTTAATGATTAATAAAAATTTCAAGACACGTCACTAGTTCGAGGATAATTAAAAATAAATGTTTTTATGAAAAGTTAAAACTTCATGCAAATATTTTAAGAAAATTAGAGAAGACTCCTTATATGATGTACTTCAACGCCCTTCAAGCTTTATTTGTATTTTTGTAACACCCTGTATTAGGCGGTTTTGATTGACATTAGTTGAAATTCAAATTCAGCTGACCAAAACCTCCGGGCTGTAAAAAAAGTAGTATATTGTCAAAACCATATGCGTAATTATACCGTTTTGTTGGCCAGCTCTTCATTACTGTAATCAAGTAAATATCAACACTTAGTTCTGATTCTGTAACACGAGCCTCAGAGGAGCGCATACAATATAGAACAGCAGATTAGAGATGTACATTTTTAGATATTTGTGATATCGATGCGCATAGATACCAGATAAATCGCATCCGATGTGCGCATCTATGCCAAGTAAACGTAGTGTCACAAACATTTCTGAGTCGGTGACAAAAATTGGAACTACAATATATCACACACACAGCATTTTGATATTTCTATGACATAATTGTTCACCGCTAGTGACACCTCCGCCGGCACAAATAAGTTTGTGGCAAGGTAGCTATAGTTACGTTGACAAAAAAAAGAGTGTGCTTATGACCAGACGACTGAAGTGAAACTTCTTTAGCTCCATCTGTATGTATATATATATGTGTGTACAATATATACATGTACGTACATATACATATTTCATTTACTAGCTATAAGAGAAAGAGAGAAAGAAAATGTGCGTGCGCACTGCTTTCTCTTGTTCATATCCCCCACTCAACTCCCGGTCGCCTCGCCCGAACTCACTTTTCGTAACACGTAACGCATTCGCCAACTTACCCCCCAAGTCAAGCGTGCGTAAAGAAGTTTCACTTCATCAAGATGGCATCGGCATCCGATAACGGTACCAAGTCGCATCGAATGCGCGCATCCTAACCTGGCATCTGTATCGCGCATCGTTATTATAAAAACGACCATCCTTACAGCAGTGGCCCGTGCACGAATGTTTGACAGCTGGGTAACGTATCGTCAGATTTGGTTTCGAAAAAGCTAGTTTGTTCTTACGTCCGGTAGGGGCGCTGCGTAGTTTTCATGGAAATTTTGACGATGCAAAACATGACGTTATGGAGCTGTCAAAAAATCGTGCTTAAGCCTCAGGTCTAAAAAGGTCGGTTTTAATCCCGTGTGCAAAGGAATGTGTCTATTAATATTTATTTTTTCACTATCTGATGAGTAAAGGTTTCATTGTAATTTATTATTCTACTTTCTAAAGAATAAAGGTCTAATAGAATGCAAATTGTAATTTTAAAAAATATACAATTTATTCGTATTACTTCTAAAATTTATCGCAATTGAAATTCAAAATCAAACAATTTGATGAATATAACATTATATAGCATAAGAAATAGCTTATAAATTGTCTTAACCGCGTTAAGTGTATTATTGAGAAAGGATGGGAAACCTTTTAGTAAAGAAAGTTTTTCATGAGTAAATTAATGTTTTAGTCACAAAGATTAAATTCCATCCTCACCTTGCCATCTGAACTATTTTTACGTCTCGTACACCTCTGGCTGGGATATTGTACTATCTCAAAATAGCCATAAAAATGACTCCATCGATCTTCGAGATAATAGGGTATTTGACAGTATTAAAAATAAAGTGCCAATTGTTAATGTATTGAGAATGAATATTGGTTTTACTATTTTACAGAAAAAATATTCATATTTTTAATAAAAACCCACGAAAAAGATAATAGCTTTCTTATTTATTGTCACGTGACCGAAGACGTGGACGGCGGAGCCTAAATTGTCGTCACACGCTAGTTAAAGTGACATTACATTGTATTGTTTGACGTTATAACGACAGTCGTGTGACATCACACACCAGTGAGACATCACGCATCACACGCCATATTGTCCAGAGAAACGTTTTCGTGGCAACTTGAAAATGGAGTTTTTAATTTAGTTATTTTATTTATTTATTTTTATTTATTTATTTGATGTACAGACAGGTGACAAACGTTCAGTACAAAATTATCTTCATTATCACACAAAAAACAAGGATGTAACCTTTAATATGTACATACTGGTGTCGATTCTGGCATGATTCTCTAAACTTAAAACTAAATTAAAGGTCAGTCTCTCCTTTTCATTCTGTATAGAGAATGACAAAGATAGACTGTTGTCAAATTTAAGTTTAGGTTTAGATAATCGTGCCAGAATCGACACCACTGAGTGATTAAATAATAATAACAAAGTGCTTCACATGCTAAGCTACAGCCAAATCATATTATATTTTTATTTTTTTTAAATTGTATACTAGCAATAGTTTAAATGATTATAAATGTTACAAATTAGCAATTAGATTCTTCTTAATATTTCTTATTTTTACTGAAATACACAACAGAATGATTAATATCCACTTTTTATGGACTCCATAAACATTAGTAAATAACGAGAGATCATTTTCTAAAACTTGTCAAATACCCTATTACCTAAACTTATATTTTCAGTTTTCCGTCTTCTTTGAGGTGCAAACTTCTCAAACCCTATCTCTTTTATTTATTGACAAAACACCTACATCACCCTGAATGAAAGTGCTTTAACTCAAAAAATTCACATTTAATAGCATACTCAACAACCCTATAGACTAAGGCCAAAATTTAGACTTAGGTTACTTTCATTCTGAGGGTGCGATTTTTATCCACACTCACCGATAGATCCGTACTGGTATCCGTAGATAGCTCGGCCTCAGTCTCAGTAGATTCGCCCTGGTTCGTGTTAGCGCGAAAAACACACATTGAAATACGGAAATTTAGAATATTGTAAGGTGTTGTTATAGAGTTAAATAATAATAGATAAGTTTAGTGTAAGCATTAATAACTTGTGTAATATTTGTTCGGTTGATTATTAATCACACAATTGCTTTAAAAAGACAAGGATAGGAAAAATTAGAGGCAAGTCTTACAGTGGTGTCGATTCTAGCATGATTCTCTAAACCTAAACTTAAATTTGACAGCAGTATATCCTTGTCGTCCTCTATACAGAATGAAAAGGAGAGACTGATGTTAAATTTAGTTTTAAGTTTAGAGAATCACGCCAGAATTGGCATCAGTATTCAGATATGCGACAAGATTGTTTCTTGTTTGGCAGTGCTGTCAAATCCCCAAAGCCAATTTAGTCACAAACTAAAACACGGTTAGTTAAGAGTATGTATTAAGTATTATACACTTACTATTAAAGATTGTAAACGGATGCTTAAACAGCAAGATATTGCAAAGAAAACTAAGCTTTCTTTGAACAGACATAAATCGGTTTTTCCCCAGTTACAATGAAATTTAAAACATAACTTTTCGTCAGAAATCAGTTCTGATTGGTTTGCACGGAAATTAAAAAAACTGTTATCACACAAGTTATCGGTCCATATCTTAGTAAAAGCAATACCAAAAGTATAAGAACAATTTCTGTTATAGCCAAGTAAGTAGTATTTCGATTACCAAAGCGATAAAGCGAAGCGAATAGTTCAAATAGCATTGGTAGGTACTTACTCTACTCAACGCCGTGGAGTCGGTCTGCGCGTTATCACCAGATGTGACTATGCTCTTAAATTTAGACGGAATTTCGTCTTGTTTAAAACCTGGAATACACACTTGTATTACTCTGTGCTGATAGCGTAAAGAGGCAATGTACAGAAAGAAAGGTGCAATGACTTTTTTAAACAATACCATACAATCCCTATCTATATACAGTTATATTGTTTTTAACTTCCATGGTCGCTGATATTAATTACTAAAATACTGTTATTTGACATTCGCAAACTTTGATCGAGTTCGAAGTATTTAATATGAATTAAAGAAATATTTACTTCAATGTAAAGCAACAACACAAAATTGAATTAACAAAAAAGTATTTCAATGAATTTGGTTATTTTATAACTACGCCTACGGAATATTCAAAAATATTAAAAAAAAATGTCGTCTATAAAGTCGGTTAACGGACGACAGTTTTACGTGATAACTTCACGCGAGAAGAGAGATAAATGTATAGGCGCCTCGGCTTGGGCCGATCATGCCTCTGTATCGCTTGTTACGCGCTCTCGCTTGCACGCTCAGGTTCAGACGGAACGTGACACTTTTTCGCGCGAGCATGGTGTACCAGAAAAGCTGTTATAACATGCGCATTAATGTATACAACAGAACTCCAAATCAATTCAAGCTGGGACTGCTTTATAAGTATTTGCTTTTATAATACAAATGAATTCTTATTACAAATTAATAATTGTAATTGTGTTGACATAATGGAAAAATGGCTATTGACTTAGAAAATTTTACATGTATTGTATATTTATTGGAAAAGATAAAAAGAAGTAGATTTTCTGTGTGTTTGTTATCTATTTATGGTGTATATGGTCACCCGTGTGTAGTATTATCTCACCTAGCAGATTGAGCACTTCCGCCCGGAAGGAAGGCAGGAAGTTGGCCCGAAGGAAGAACCACGTGTAGCGCTCGCCTTGCTGACGACACGAGTCGCCACGCTGACGGCAGTATCTACAATTTAGAATGCAAAGATAGACTGTATACCTACCGCAAGTGTTCCAAAAATTTAATTGTGCATGTGTGCCTTACATTAAAACAAAAAGGGAAGATAACACGCGGCTGAAAGGTGATCCGCTTAAATTGAGGTGCATGACCTCAATTCGCTTTAGTCACAATTGGACATTCAAACACGCTGCATATGCACTCAATATAACAATGTTGCGTATATTCTGTGTTATAAAGATAAAACAATGCCTTCGATGCTTTTATAAAGAACACAAATAGTTCAAAATCAAATAACAAATGCCTCGGCAACACTTTTTCATTTGTAAACAGTCAAAACATTTTTTTTTCTCAAAAATCACGGTTTGTCGTGAATTTTATTAACGTAATCGCCATTTTGTTATCAAGACAAGGACAAGTATACAGCTCAGTCGTTCGGACTCGCCGTTTCGCTCGCGCTGCGTTGAAGCGTACAGTTCTGTCTCGCTCGCTCGATTGGATGTTTATTTACAGACGAGTGCGTGTTGCTTATGTAGTTGAGTAGGAGAATATTTTATTGTACGGGTTTAGCCGCACATTAAGAGCCCTTTTACAGAATTGCGCAACTGCCGTACTGATCGGCGCGTAGGTAGACTTGCACTAGTGATATAGCATTTTACGGGTGATGTTTCGAGTCTTATAAAATATTTTTTAATGAACAAATTATAAAAATATATGAATACTTTAGTAGTTCAATAATGGTAGATTAGTTTTATGAAAGTGTTTGATAGTAATTCTATTTAATTCAATATCAAAAGACGGATAAACCTGCATTGTTTTTTGGGAAAACACACGGAGGTTAGATGTTTTTTTTTGATATTTAATGAGATGGAAAATTAAAATTCTAATACATTATGTTACAACAAAAACATATTTCTGATGTTGTAGTAATTAATTTGATCTAATTTATTGAATATTATTTAGAGATTCAGGCGTTTGAAGTTGTGCATATTATCGTTTTTTCCGTGAACAAGCTGCGGTAGAACGATCAGTACAAACAAAGGAAAATAGTATTTGCAAATATTCTACATTAACTTACAATAGGAAGAATAAATCTACTGTTTACTTCTATTGGATATAGTCAAAATCTTTTGTAAGGGGTAAACGAGGCGCTCAAAAATTACGACTTATTGCAAAAAATGTGAAAGGGCTCTTAAACCCATGACGACTCAATATGACGCGCTGCGCGACTTATTACTTTATAATTTATTAATTTCATTGTTTCGCAATAATAACATATCGAATCTATAATTATTGTCTATCGGGTAGCCTTACCAACCGCGCGTACTCACTCTTACCTTTTCACCATACGTAAACCATTCTTTCACTATACTTTAACTTTAGTTTTCCTGTTTAAAGACTTTGTTATAATAGTGTAAATTATCTCAATAAACTCTCAGTAATTGTTTCCAGTGACTTTCTATTTACCAATCTCTTCTCTAAAGGTGTATAACTAGTACATTATTTTATGCTGATATGTGCGTACTGTATCTTCCCTTTTTGTTTTAACTTAAGATGTGTGCTTATCGCTGTTTGGTTGTGAGTGATAGTGTCGATTCGATATTTATAGTCACTTCGATTTCTTTTAAATAAAAAAGAGAATTTAAATTTTAAGTTTGGATTATAAAACATTAGCATTCGGTTACTATTGAAAGTTTATAGTATTCTGTATTATGTTTTGGTAATTTAATTTTTTTTTATTTTATTGATTTAGGTAACAAACATTCTCTAACAGTAATATTTGCTTAAATTAAATAATGTATGACTAGACCTAAAGTACCATAACTTAAATTAATATTATGTTTAAACAAATTGAGTCTATGAGAAACTTCTTAGTTACTTATTACAAAATGTTTATAGTATTCTGTATTATGTTTTGGTAATTTTATTTTATTTTATTTTATTGATTTAGGTAACAAACATTCTCTAACAGTAATATTTGCTTAAATTAAATAATGTATGACTAGACCTAAAGTACCATAACTTAAATTAATATTATGTTTAAACAAATTGAGTCTATGAGAAACTTCTTAGTTACTTAGGGGTCATCCATAAATTACGTCACACGAATTTCATGTCTTTTTTGCCCCTCCCCCCGTCCTTGTCACAGCTGGTCACATTTGTAAGACTCCCCCCCTCCCTAGTGTGACGTCACATATTTTGCAAATTTACATTTAGAAATCATTGAATGAAAACAGCGGTTCTGTAATCAGTTTTATTTCCATTTAAATTGTTTTTTCATTATTATTATAATCAAATCAACAATTAACAAAACAAAAAAAATACCGAACAAAAAGTGATTGACTATGTTAATTAAAGAAATTAACAAAACATAAAATATTAATAGCATTATAATTAAATTAAAGATACAAACTTAATAATCTTGAGTCCATGGACATTGATCCCACTCCTTTAAATTATTTATAACTGGCATAGCACCACTTTGTTCTCGTTTGCGTTGTTAATGCTTTCGTAAAGTAATAGTTTCAACACTTAGATTTTAATATATTTTGAAATGTGACGTCACGAATTTTAGGACCCCCCCCACCCCTTGTCACACGATGTCACATTTCGTCGACCCCCTCCCTACCCCTTAAAGTGTGACGTAATTTATGGATGGCCCCTTATTACAAAATGTTTCAAAATCTTTACAATCTACTAGTACAACATCTCGCGAACCAGTTTTCTGTAATTATTATAGGTACTTGAAAAAATGTCAATATTGGTCAGGTTTTTGTTATAAAAATCAAGTGATCGCCTCAAATAAGAGTTTTTTGTGTAATTTGTGCGATATGGCGGGACATAAAATGTACTCTTAGAGCGTAATGTTGTGTTTCTGATAGTGAGCAGGGTTGCAGGGCTCCGTGGAGTAAGGGATTGGGTTCAGGCCGGCAAGGTTAGGATGGCTGCAGTGGCATATCTCACAACTGAACTCCACTTACACTTAACATCAGGTGGGGTAGGATAATTCATTGCGCCTCGTATAAAAAAAATCAGTCAACAAGCAACTACTAGTTCTGGCGCAATATGGGTGATGACGGGGTACAGTAAACGAAATTCTATTTAGTCCGTCAGTTAGATGATCAAAAAATAATGTACACGTATTTTTTCTTTGGGCAATCAACCAAAAAATGACAAAGTTATAACGCGTCAAACTTTAGGAGAAGGGGCTCGTGACGTCATGCGACTTTTCAAATCAATATATCTCTGCAATGTTTATATTATGTGAAAAAATACGTGTCCAATACTTTTTGATAATCTACCTGATAAAATTAGTCATCATCCCTATTACACTTGGTCGCTAGCCCGAATACGTTTGCCTATGGAATTCCGACAAACAACTTAATGTAGTCGAATAGTTTTCGTTTTGGTAACCCGACGCCGTGTTCGAGTAACAACAATGTAAATATTGAATCTTGTCTTTCGTGCGCCCGAATACGGACTAAGGACCAAGTGTAAATGCGCCTTTAGTTATCATTAAAAGGCGACACTTACTCGGCGAGTTGTTCCGAAGCATTGGGGTCGTGGCTGAGGCTGGAGCCCAGCACCGTGTCGAGCTGAGCCGCTCGTTCTACTAACTCTGGTTCGCTAACCACCTTACGAAACAATAAATAAATTCTACACATCATAAAACGTCTACTTGATAAATCAATGAATAATAATCGATAAAATTACTATCTCAGCCCCTCTAGCATGACCACTGAAACGGGGTATGATAAATGTCATGCTAGAGGGGCTGATATATTTATTCGCCTAGATGGAGCAATCAAAATAAAAAACCAAAACAAACCGCGCAATGTGTGCGTGAATGTAATGCCAGATTGGACTAAACTCTAAAGCAATCAACGTGTGGTTGTGTATCCACGAGCATTTCTACCATAAGTAGTAGATATTTCTGTAGCGCTTTCGTGTAGTAAAAATTACCGTATTCTAGGGTGTATATAATCAAAGATTACTATATTGATCAATGGACCTGCAAAAAGTTTCAGCTAAATGTAGTCACAAAACGCTGAACAAAATCGCCTTTTATAAAAAATAAGTTTTACACATAAATTGATAGAAAATAACAGATCATTCATTTATAATAAAAGAAAGCATTTAACAATTTATTATTAACCTAACTAATGGCGCGATTACATTTGGTTGTTAGCCCGAATACGAGTGCCAATGGAATTCGGGTAGACTACTAACTGTACATGAATAGAGTCGAGTATCGTTTTCCAGCGTAAATATTGCTTCGGGTGCCGGAATTCGGGTAATGTCTTTCGTACATCCGAATACGGGCTACCGACCAAGTGTAATTGAGCCATAAGACAACTTTTAATAATTTGGTAGCAACTTACGTACCTGGCTTATATGTACGAGTCTTTGTGTTCCTCCCTCTGTAGTAGGAGTATTGTCGAACGTCACTAATTTGCCACCGAACTGAAAGAAACATCTTTTTATATAGAATTCTTCTGTGAGTGTGTATGTCACTGAACTTCTCTTAAACGACTGGACCGATTTTGATGAAATTTTTTGTGTGTGTTCAAGGGGATCTGAGAATGGTTTAGATTCACAATTTTGTCCGCTGGACAACCCCTATTTTTTTAAGGCGGTACGAAGTTCGCTGGGTCAGCTAGTTTCATTATAAATTGATTCAATTGAATTGTAAGTACAGCAGACATCGCTGAAAAATAGGTTGGAATTTAAGTTGGTAAACTTATAATATGTGCTGCACGTACTTATTTAATGTTAAGAAGAAATAACTCTCAAAAACCGACCGCACGAAGCATCATAGGGAATTTTTGAAGTGAAAACTTCTTTAGCGTCGTAATACACTAGTAATCGCCGGGGGGGCATGGCGGGGGGCGCGCGGGGGGCCGGCGGGGCGCGCTGGGCGAGTACTCACGTGCAGCCTGGCGGCGGCGGGGCGGCGCAGCCAGGCGGGGGGCCGGGGGGGCATGGCGGGGGGCGCGCGGGGGGCCGGCGGGGCGCGCTGGGCGAGTACTCACGTGCAGCCTGGCGGCGGCGGGGCGGCGCAGCCAGGCGGGGGGCCGGGGGGGCATGGCGGGGGGCGCGCGGGGGGCCGGCGGGGCGGCGCTCACGGCGGGCAGCTGGTTGAACTGCGCCGCGCCACCAAACGACTCCACGATGCTGCGCGACGACTGCCGGGACTACAACACAATACATCTTTTACTGACCAACTTGTAATTGATCGTGAAGACTGTCCACTGATTACAATTTTTTTAGTGATAACTTCTTAAGAGAGGGTAAACCGCCTCGTTACGTAACGCGTTAATGCGCCAGTCTGTCTGACTTCCCTTTCTCTCACGCATACGGCAGCGGCAGGCAGGCTCCTCCTCTCTGACTCTATTCCGCAACGCCGCTTAAATTAGTTTAAGTTATCACTTCTATCGTGCGTCCCGAGACGAACACACTATTTTCTAGACAAGGTTATCTCCAATGATATATTACTTCTATAGATATGTTACGTTCATAATAATTGCGTCTAAAATGTGTTACAATTTAAATTGATTTTTTGTGCATAGAGTAACATTTATTAGTTGACAAAATGCTCCAATTAACCAGTTTTAGTCTTCCGACGTGCGCGCTTATGACATATCTGCTCTTATAAAATAGCCGTGATTATATTTCTTTTTCATATAATTTACTAATATTATGGTATTACGTTTCAGCACACTAACACATGGATGTATGTTGTCTCAAAAATAAATAATTTTAAGAAATTCTAATCATACATGTGACCACAACATGTATCGAATACAAAAAGAACATGTTTTATGGAAATCGTATCCAAATTGCGATACACATAAGATTTCAATCTACGACGAAATACACTAAATACATTTAAAAAATAAAAAACTCTATATTGTTTTGTAATTTGACTCCTGAGTTACTTCAAAATGGTTCTGATTCAGATTTCACTGAATTCAAATAAGTACATCGTTATATTCTTACGTCAGACTACCACGAATTTTTATCACGCAGTGATGAGTCCACTGTCCTCAAAACAGTGCGCGCGGTGGAGGCCATTCCGCGCATATCTCCCGCTGCTTCGGCCTGAATAACCAAGACGGTTTGCCAGGCCATGGGTGGTCAGTGGGATTTGTTCTTAAAACAGTTTGTAGATTGGGAAACCCCTATTGAGAAACTAAATATCCTTAAAGGAGATTGGAGGGTCGGATAAATCGAGGATAAGCTCCAGATTTCCCAAATAATATTGTAAACTCAGGCTAAATTAACTAAATTCTAAACTCAGATCAGGGATCACAGTATACTTGGGGAGAGATGGAGTATTATAGTAGTGAGTGCAGCGCCAGTAGTTGGTCGAAGGAGGTGCTGGCCAGCAAGCCATCACACAGGTATACTGGGTAAGGAAACACAGCATATTTCTCGCAGGGATCAGGTATCTCAGTACAGTAGAAGGTGAGGGGTGGAGTATGATAGTATGGTTCAGCGACAGCAGCTGGTCGAAGGAGGCCTAATGGAGGCTTAGGACGCAGGTACACTTGGTAAGGCGACGAAGTTATTCCCGGAGTATATTGAGAACGAGGATAAACCTGTTGAAAGTCACAGCATTCTTTGAAGATATCAGTTATCGAGGTGGTGAGGAGTCCAGTATTCTTGGAGGAATTCGAAGATGCGAAAATACCTGATAAGAACTGTAGTATTCCTGGCGAAGTTTAGAGATCGAAGTATATCTTTAAGAACCGCAGTATTCTTTGAGGAAGTTGGGGACTTGGGTAAACTTGTTGAAAGCTGTAAGGATTGGAGTATACTTGGTGAGGGGAGCAGCATTCTTGGAAGAATTTGTGGACTCATGTGAATCTGTTCAAAGCTGTAATGGTTTTGGAGGAATTCAGGGACTTTTGTATACTCGGTAATGGGTCCATACTTTTTTCAGGAATTCGGGCACTGCAAAAATCCTATGGAGAATTGTAGTGTACATGGATTGAGAACACGCGTAAATTTGGGCAAAAAATGCAGAATTCCTGGAAGTTATCGGAAATCGGATGAGAGGTTCAATATTCTTGGAAGAGATCGGGAACTCTGAAAATACCTAAAAGAGATCGGATACTTAGGTGAAGCCGTTGAGAGCTGTGGGTTCGGAGTATATCTATTAAGAACCACAAGAGGATATTGGGATCATCACACTAATATTATAAAGGTGAAAGTTTGTGAGTGTGTGCGTGTGTGAGTGTGTATGTTTGTTACTTCTTCACGTCTAAATTAATCAAATTTAGTATGGAATTAGCTGACACCCTAGATTAACACATAGGCTACTTTTATCCCGAAAAAATGTTAGGTTCCAGAGAGATTTTCAAGAAACTAAGTTAACGCAGATGAAGTCGCGGGCGACCTTTAGTAGTTTATATGTTAAGAGCAGTATTCCTGGAGGAATTTATTCAAAAGAGGCACCGGCCAGCAGGCCTTGACACGCAGCATATTCCTGGTAGGGACTGGCGGAGAAAGCTTTAAGCGTTAAGTCCGCCTTATGTTCATTTTGTAATCGTGGCAATAAAGTTTAAATAAATAAATACAGTATAGGTCTGGTATTCCTCGAAGAATTTGCAGACTGGGTAACCTCAAAGCGTCAGTATTCCTAGAGATCGGAGATCGCAGTATACCTGTTGAGGTGTGGAGTATCCCAGTAGCGAGTGCACTCCCAGCAGTTGGTCGAAGGAGGCGCTGGCCAGCAGGCCCGCCACGCGCGGGCTCCACGACGCACAGAACACCCACTGGGGCTGCGACCACACCTCCAGGGGGGGCACGCCCTGATCCACAAACGAAACAATACATTAAACTCGTCTCAAAATCTATACATATAATAAAATGGTAGGAAACTCAAAACTGTTCATTGAATATTTTTTTTAAATGAATACTTGGGGTGTGATCTACGATCAATACCGAAGCCAAAAACATAGTTTTTTAAAATTTTGTCTGTTTGTCTGTATGTAAGTCCGGGATAAACTCGGAAAGTACTTCATGGATTTACTTCAAATTTGGCACGAATATTATTAAGAAGTCGGGTCAATATATAATCTACATATTATCATATATTTATAAAGTTAATGCTTATGACATGTTTATATGTATATATAATAAATTACCTTACAATATAAAATTAGAAACTGGGACACTGTTTAGAAGTAAGTTGACAAAATGGTTACAAAAAAAACATTATTATAGTATTAAGGAATATATGACAGATGAAAAAAATAACTGACTGCAATATTTGCACACCTGCCTGCAGGTAGAATACATGTACTTACTTAATATGTATCAACTTGTGAACTGTATTTTGGCAAATAAATTAAATTATTATTATTATTATCATGCTATCACCTCGGTGGAACCTTTCGGTGGATTTCTAACTAACTCCAGGCGTACAAAGTCGCGGGCGGCCCTAGCGGCCGCTTTACTATGTGAGGTGGTTCAATTTTACTTTAACAACAGATTGGACATCATTACTCATGTGCAATGACAAACGACAAGACAAACAACACACAGACAAACGAGAGGATAAGAACATTTTATCGAACTTTTTTCTTAATTTACAATCGTTTCTAGTAATATATTTCTAATAAATGATGTAGAATACCGAGGATTGTAGAGGAATACATATTTTAAGCGTGACCTTTCATTGAAATGTAAATTATTTATAACAGTCTAAGAATGACTATTAATTTAATAGGTGTGTACCTATTAACAGAACGCAATAATTACATAGTTATGTTTGTACTTATAGCATTTAAATTGCCATTCACGATTGTATACAGGAGAACCTAGATGGCGCGGGTGGTTAGCGCGTTCGGCTGCGATCGTTGAAGTTAAGCAACTTTCGCAGTGGTCGATCATTGGATGGGTGACCAAAAATCTTCTATCTCGAGTTCCTCCGTGCTTCGCACGACACGTTAAGCCGTTGGACCCGATTGCATCTGCAGTCGTTAACACCCGCCAATCCGCACTGGGCCCGTGTGGTGGGTCATGGCCCAATCTCCCTATTCCATCCATAGGGAGGGCCTGTGCCCCAGCACTGGGGACATTAATAGCCTGATGATGATTTTATACACGATATATAGCATATGTAAAATTAAAACATTAATACAGTTGCTGATGCAATGGATTGTGAAGAAGAAATCATAATTATTAAATAAACATGAGAAGCTAGCTGACGCAAATGGTTAGCCCGTCCCGTTTACAATCGTAGAAATAAAGCAACTTTCGAAAAACATTTGTAATCATTAACCCATCTGTTGATGGGTGACCACAAAAATAATATCTTTGCTTCGGAAGGTATGCTAATCCATCGGACCCGGCAGTGCCCCAGCAAAGAGTATATCAATAGGCTGATAACGATAATTGGGTTGGATTAATATGGGTAAATATAGTTACAGGATTATCAGGATCCTAGCACAATAAACAATCATCAACCTTAACTCAGCACCGCTTGTATCTCTTATCTATTAGACAAGTCCGTCCGTCCGTCCGTCTGTGGTGCTGTTTCAGCGGCCAAACCGTAAGAGATAGATAAAGAGAATATTTAAGTTATAAGTTAAGAATAGTCTGATGAGACTACAAACCGGATTTGAGTAACGTAACACTTCCGGTTTTCGAGAAATCACGAATTTCAAACGAAACCACACAAAATCTCCGAAGTTCTCAATTAATTAAATCAGGTTTTGGTGAACATTTGGTTCACTGGTTTGCTAGTATAGCTATGATGTGGTTAGGTTATAGATATAGTCACCGGGTTGGTATGATCCGGGTCCCAGCATAGGACCCGCCCGTCCTTCCCGGCGGAGAGCAGCAGGGCGGCGTCGTGGCGGCTCCACGAGAGGGAGAGAACGCCTTTATTATGTCCCTCCAGAGTGGCCAGCGGCGACGCCGCCAGTCTGAACAAACGTACAACCACACTCTGAAGCTCTATTTTTGAATCACTGGTCTTGCGTCGAACGCTCGATTTCTACTAAATTTCATTCGACATAATTAATTCCGTATTTTTTAATCGCTCGAGTGCAACGAATGCGTGAGACACTCGCTGCATGGCGAACGGTGGAGGCGAATGATAGAATAATTGTCAAAATTTTTGTGGTATTAGACGACGATAATCTAATTATTGGTTCGGTTTTCATTGCGGTAATTACCGTTTTTTTTTCTACGTGAAATGAGTAAAATTTCATATTTCGTATTAAACACTTAACTCTGGTGACGAATGATTCAAAAATACGGAAAATCAGTATTATGCGACTTGAAAGTCGAAGGTGACTTATGTCGCATTCGACGATACTGTGTCAGACGAGTGGCTCAAAAATAGAGCTCCAGATACGATTTTCACTTACCTCATAATATTACAACAGTAAATAGACATTACAGGGTTTTTTTTTATGTTATAGGTGGCATTCGAGCAGACGGCTCACCTGACGGTAAGTGATCACCGTCACCCATGGACACTTGCAACACCAGGAGTATCACAAATGCGATGGCGGCCTTTAAGGAAGGAGTACGCTCTTTTTTGAAGGTTTTTGAGTCGTATTGGTCCGGAAACACTGCTGGCGACAATATATTCCAGTTTTGTCGTTCGTGGTAAAAAATTTCGACAAAAACGCACGGTAATCTCATGTATGTAATATAGTGTTGTCTCTTTTTGACTTGTAGTAATTGCCAACACTACATTCTCTGTCATACGCTGTCTGATCAAACTTTAATATTTATAGTCTAAGATCCGAACTAAAAACGATCTTCACCGAGCTGATAGAATAGAATGAATCATATTTTATAACAAATTTAGTATGTTAGAAAATATGTTGAAAATGGGTTGCCTAAAAAAATCCTGGACAGACAATTTTTAATTATTTAAAAAAAAAATATTTTTATTTTATTTTTGCAACATCAAGATAATAAGAAAATTTTTACCCTGACTTAAAGTATGAAACGTATAGAATGTGCAGCCGTTGGGTTGCCTATTATTTACCTGGACAAACTACTCGGTTGTCAGGTATAAACAGGTATGTCGATGCCAGTTACCTTCACTCGATTAGATAACCGAAAAAAATTTATATCAATATGAGCGTTGTTTTATTGCGAACGCGGTGATATAGGGTTGTCTGCAAAAAACTTGGTCCTAATAGGGGTTTGCGAATTTTGAAGATTTTAATTTTAACGCGAGTGGAAATGTGTGACAGAGAGATCCGAATTGAGTATAGCGTGTAATGATAAAGGACACAACATGGCAGTCGCATGTAATGGGACCTCGAATATCAGAAAGTGCGCATGCTCGGTAGTCATATGACAGAGAATGACAGCGATACTCTAGTAAACAGTGAGCGTTATTTTGGAGTCGCAACACGTGTTATTTTGTATCGTTGTGAAAAAAAATGGCCAAAAAAGTGTTTTTTGTGTGGTTCGGACAATTCTTTCAGTGATTTTACTAATAAAACTTTCAACAATTGCTAGTCAAAGTTAGCTTTTCGTAAAAAAAAAACTTTATATATACTGAAGCAGTTCTCGATTTTGTTGGTTACCACACCACGTGTTACAAAAAAGTAACTGGTTTTTTTTTATCCATGAATTTTAATTTTCGGCTGTCCACTTTGTTTCTCATAAATTTTTCCAGAAAGAGAAAAAAAAATTTCAAAGTATTGATATTTGTATTATTTACGTCATTATATTTTGAGTTACAAAAACTTGTATAAATATATAATTAACCCATTTTCAACATATTTTCTAACATACTAAATTTGTTATAAAATATGATTCATTCTATTATCAGCTCGGTGAAGATCGTTTTTAGTTCGGATCTTCTACTATTATGACAAGTAAAGAAAACAAATTTGTTATTGAAATAACATGATGGGATGGGAGTTGACTCATTCGAGCGTGGACAGATTTCGGTGCGGTCAAACTATGGTAAGGGCATATCTAATAGGCTAGTTGACCCTTTTTGGAAAAAGGTTTTAAATGGTTAATAAATGTTCTATTAGAACGAAAAAAAATGTATTGTATTTTTTTGAGACCTAGAAAGCTACAAATCTTTAATTTTAAAATAGAATTTTCATGGACATACAAAAACGCTGTCGGCCATTTTAGTCTATAGATTGTCTATGCTATGATGTCAACTGTAGTAAACAAAAACTCGTAAGGACGTAGAAAATAACTGAGTTTATAATAAAAAGAACATGATTTCTAATAAATACCACGAAAAATAAAGTAATTATCATTATTGTATTGTACGAGAATATAAAAACACATCCTTGAAGACGCCAGGAATGTTGTGGATTAAAGTGCCGAAAGAAATTAACCTACGCAACTTTATTACACTTATTCATATGTTGTATCAGTTTTATGTTTATTACTACATTGTAATACTAAATGCACTGTACTTACATAGATGCCTTGTCGTTTCTCTGCTCCGCAGAGCAGTAATCGGGGTTTAGTGCAAAAAATTCACCAACCATCAATGCGTCAATTCTTGGCAGATTTGTGCTTTCACAAAGCCGGCATCCATAATTAGTTTTGTCAAAAAAAACAGTAAACGGAAACTTATCTAAAGTTAAAAGGGTTTTAAGATAAATTTATTGAGACTAAAGAATCCACCCACAATAACACGCGAATGACATTTAGTTGTTTACTGAAAGAGACGTCAAAATCATGGCGGATGTGGCGAACAGCGTTTTTAGTGTTTAAAAAATATAGACTAAAAAATATTTTTTAAAATTAAATTTCTACAGCAATCTTCTGCTTTTATGAAGTGAAATCGATATATTTAGGTTCCTTACACCAAATACTGTAAGAAATAAACATTTATTTAATACAATTCGACATGAGTCAACTAGCCTATTCTTTGCTGTCACCATAAAAAAATGTCGACAATATTTATCACATCTTACAAAGGTATTAGTTATTCATCCAACTGATTAAGAATCATCTGCACCAGAACTAGGAGACTTATATTTCAGGTGCAGTTATATGATACGTTCTTTTACTTTTACTTCAAAAGTATTAGTGGCGTGTTGGCAGTTTGCATTTGACATTAGATCGCTTTTTGATTCGGTATTGTGAAGGTAACCAAGGTATCTCTAAATAATAATCCACTAGAAAAAAATCCACCTGGCAGCAGACGGGACTCGATCCCGCACCCTTTGCTATCCGGGCGAATGCACAGACAATTATGCTATCGCGGCCCCGACGGCCGTGTCATATTTTCTCTAACCTTAAGCTGCAAAGCAGCGCCATCTCTTCGACTTGTAGGTAACCCCCAATGTCAAATGAATACCTTTACAAGTATTTAACATTTCAAAGAAAAATTAGCAATGTCCCGTCTGGTCCACGTTGATTTTTTTCTGGTAAACTTTTCTTTAAATTTAAACATCTAGCAGTTAAATGATTACAAAATAAAAAACATAACTATTAGCAATCATAGTTATATTATTTACTTTTAAGCATTTAACTGCTAGATGTTTAAATCTAAAGAAAAATCCACTAGAAATACCTTTTTATTGACCCTTTTTGGTCTTTATGTAAAAATAAGATAACTATATGAGTTGAATTTAAATTTTTTCTATGCTTCAGTTCCTGTTTCAACTGAGGTACTGAGTTAGTCATTCTATATTTTCCCGAAGTACCTATAAGGATGTCACAAATTCATACCTCAAATCCCACAGCTGTATGACAGGCGACAGGTCGTCTTCCGAGGCGATGCACAACTGCGTCGCCACTGACGGGTGCCACGCCAGCGCGCGCCAGCGGGTGCGGGACTGCGAGTCGCTGGGGAAACACCGACCTTATGTACTTCACCGTAAGGTTCAAGCTTTAATTCACAAACATGTTCTTATACCTCAAACATTAACAAGACTGCCATCCAACGAATGCAAGATTTTGACTCAATGGGAAAACACGACCTTATGTAGTACACTATAGGGTTAATATACCTCAAACGATAACAAGCCTGCCATCCAACGAATGCAAGACTTCGACTCACTGGAAAAACACGACCTTATGTACTACACTATAGGGTTCAAGCTTTAATGAACAACATCATGATAACGGCTTGATAATTAATGTAAAAAAAACTAAATCCATGCTTATTACATCTCCATATAATAAGGTTGCAAAAAATTTCGATGTAAAATTAATAGGTCATTCCTATGATTGCCTACATAAGACCAGTGCTGATTGCCAGTGTCAAATAATTGAGTGTGTTCCCTCTTTCAAATACCTTGGCTTGATAATAGACAGTCGCTTCGCTTGGGATTTGCATATTGAAAGTGTTTGTAAAAAGCTAAGAACAATACTAGGTAAATTATACAACTTGAAACATGCTGTAAGTAGAAAAGTATCATATATGTTATATTATGCCCTTGCGGATGCAATTATAAACTATGGCTTGGGTTCTTATGGACTTACGTTCCCAGTGTATTTAAATAAAATTAAAGATTTGCAGTTGAGGTTATTAAAGACACTTATAAATAAAAAGGAAAAGGATTTATTAAAGGGTGAATATAATAAGCTATTTAAAATGTGTAAAATTGTCCCAGTAGAATATAAAGTAAAAATGATAATTATACTTGAACAATACGTATTTGGAGAAAATAAAATAGAAAATGTCTATAGGAACCCAACCCGTCAGGTAGCTTGTAAACATAAATATAAAGTACCAACATACACTAATTATTACGGTAAACGTATGAGAAAATGGCTTACTCCAACCTTTTTAAATCAACTACCAGAAACCATCCTCAATAAATGTTTAAAAGAAACATTACCTTGCATTGTGTCCGTAGCTTGTACAGGTGTGTATTTCTGTGTGTATGTACGCGTGTGTGTGTGATTAAAAAAAGTATGAAAGCAAAAAAAAAAAAATGTAGTGATAAGTCTCATTCCAGCGGCACTATTCTGTAAAGATCCACGCATGGGGTTTTACAGAATAGCACTGCTGATCATAGATCATAAACTGTATGAGTGCCGGTTTTTATCTAAATTTGTTCAGCCATTTTTGCGTGATTGAATAACAAATAGTAAAAACTAGTTTTATGGGAATATCACAGAAGTCTTATATAATTAATATATAAATATAACTATTGTTTTTGTTTTGTGAGTAATCGTTATCCACGGGAACTCCACACTTATGTACTACACTATAGGGTTCAAGCTTTAATGAACAACGTCATATTATACTAGAAACATTAACAAGACTGCCATCCAACGAATGCAAGACTTCGAGTCACTGGGAAAACACGACCTTATGTAGTACACTATAGGGTTCAAGCTTTAATGAACAACGTTATATTATACTAGAAACATTAACAAGACTGCCATCCAACGAATGCAGGACTTCGTCTCACTGGGAAAACACGACCTTATGTACTACACTATAGGGTTCAAGCTTTAATGAACAACGTTATATTATACTAGAAACATTAACAAGACTGCCATCCAACGAATGCAAGACTTCGACTCACTGGGAAAACACGACCTTATGTACTACACTATAGGGTTCAGCTTTAATGAACAACGTTATATTATACTAGAAACATTAACAAGACTGCCATCCAACGAATGCAGGACTTCGTCTCACTGGGAAAACACGACCTTATGTACTACACTATAGGGTTCAAGCTTTAATGAACAACGTTATATTATACTAGAAACATTAACAAGACTGCCATCCAACGAATGCAAGACTTCGACTCACTGGGAAAACACGACCTTATGTACTACACTATAGGGTTCAAGCTTTAATGAACAACGTTATATTAATAAATAATAATAAATAAATAAATAAATAAATATTTAAAACACTCACACCAATTAGCCTAGCCCCAAAGTAAGCACTGTAAGGCTTGTGTTATGGGATGCTAGGGGTAACGGATAGAATACATATACCGTACATATATAAGTATATTTATATAGAAATACATATTAAACATCCATGACTGGAGTACAAATGCTCGTATTCATCACACAAACATCTGCCCCCACCGGGATTCGAACCCGGGACCTCTCGAGTCGGCGACACCATGAAACCCGGCGTACAAACCACTCGACCACGGAGGTCGTCTATATTATACTAGAAACATTAACAAGACTGCCATCCACCGAATGCAAGACTTCGACTCACTGGGAAAACACGACCTTATGTAGTACACTATAGGGTTCAAGCTTTAATGAACAAGGTTAAATACCTCAAACGTTAACAAGCCTGCCATCCAACGAATGCAAGACTTCGAGTCACTGGGGAAACGCGACCTTATGTACTTCACCATAGAGTTCAAGCTTTAACGACTTTATATTTTCTTAGCAAGAGAGCTGTTAGTATACATCCTACTAATATGATAAATGTGAAAGTTTCTGTTTGTTACATAATCACACAAACTTCGTTCAACGTTCAACTGAACGAATTTGGATGAAATTTAGTACGTAAATAGTTTATAACCTGAGTTGGGAGATAGGATGCTTTTTATCCCAGAAAATGATAGGTTCCTGTGGCATTCTCAAAAAACCGGCCGCCCACGACTTTATCCGCGTTAACGCCGGTAGTAGGTAATGTTATAAATAAATATACTGCAATATAGCATTCAAACTCTAGCGAAACAGCCCGCCAACGAATACGGGACTGCGAGCCACTGAGGAAACACAACCTTATATACTAAAGCATTGGCTTTAAACTTAAATGAATAACCTTATATGCCTCAGTATGAAGACACAGACAAATGGGCGTTTAAAAAATTAAATTATAAATACTTTTATAAAAAAATAATATAGAAATTAGGATACACATAGAATTAAGTAAAGAAAGAAGAAATTATACAAACATAGATTAAAGTACATGAACTAACACTAAAATAGATTATAAGAAGTGTAAACTTTAAGTACTGGAAGTAAAAAGGCTTTTTATTTTTATATGCCTCAATATAGCATTCAAATTCTAACGATACAACCCACAAATAATTGCGAAACTGCGAGTCGCTGGAGAAACACGACCTTATGTACTTTTACATAGCAATCAATTTTGGATGAAATAATTTATATACCACAACATATCCGACTCGAAGGACCGTGTACAAATTTTCCATACATAAACATGATCTAAAGCAGGGTTCCCCAAACTTTTTTGTGTCGTAGACCCCTTGCCATGTTTTTCCGTGTTGGGTAGACCCCCAGAACAACCCAGTAGAGTAAAATCAATATCAGGTAAGTAGTTACCTGATATTGATTTTTTTTCACTGACGTAGACCCCTTGCAGGTTGTCATAGACCCCTAGGGGTCGATATAGACCACTTTGGGAATCACTGTCTAAAGAGACACCTTCACAGGATGTTTATGAAGAAGAAGACTTTATATGATAGTTGAACTAAAAAATCAAATGATATAAAAAAAAGTTGATAATGAGACCAAGTCTGTTTCATGTATACTATTTCGAAAATCATCTAAATGAAAAACGTGTACTATTTCGAAAATCATCTAAATGACATGAATTGAGACGAACTAATTGAGTAGCAAACTTGCAAAAATGTTGGGTCACAATGTACAGCTTTCATCGGTAACCATAAAGTACATAAACGAGTGCGGAACTCAGAATCACTAGGATAACAACCTTAAACATTAGTTGCATAAAGTTCACTATGGAGATTAAGCGCAAATTCGGCGCTAAAAACCGTAAGCGCTTCTTGGGAATGCATCATTTGAAAAAATATATATACATGTAACAAAATTTCACTTGCTACTGAAATTGTTGTGACTTTTAAATAAAAAAAAAATATTTGAACTTTAATGAATCAACAATAATAATTACCTTAGCTTCATGATTGGTTCGTTCTTCCTCAAATCCCAAACGACACATCTGCTGGCAAATGTTGAACCTAGAATATGTTGAACCTGCAACAACAGTGCTTTCAAAATTCAACCATTATTTTGGGTAATCCTTCCATAGCTAAGCTTTGTAAAATACAACTATAATAAATGCACAAACTGAGACTGTCACACTTAAAGAATAAGTCACTGCAATACACACTAGTAGCCTTACACACTAGTCTTATTTCTGTCCAGCACACATTAACATTACGTGTGTAGATGCCTTCTTGCGTCGTCAGAATTACATTATATTTATTTATTGACGTTTCGCATCCTTTTCAGGATGTCGTCTGAATTATATAGTATAACTAGCGGCCCGCCCTCGCTTCGCTTCGGTGTAGAGCTGAAGTGTAGACTACAGTTTTTGTTCTCAGGCTTGTATATACACAATGACATTCATCTATGATTCTTCCTATACCTGCATGCAAAGTCTCAGCCCGATCGGTTTAAAATTGACAATGTTTCATACAAACTTTCATTCCCTATTTTATCCCCTTGGGGGTAGAATTGATCAAAATCCTTTCTTAGCGGATGCCTACGTCATAACATCTACCTGCATGCTAAATTTCAGCCCGATCCGTCCAGTGGTTTGGGCTGTGCGTTGATAGATCACTATGTCAGTCAGTCGGTCACCTTTGAGTTTTATATATATAGATATAATTCAGACGACGCATCCTGAATAGGATGCGAAACGTCAATTAATAAATAAATCAGTGCATCTATACCGTTGAAACTTGAGTTATTTAAGTAGTTACCTGTTGGTTCCACGCGAGCCCCTGCACGTGGTCCGGGGGCTGGCTGCGCTGGCCGGGCGTCATGGGCTGCGCGCTGTTGTTGAGGTCCCAGATGAAGATCTCGCTCTCCGACGCGCCCGACGCCAGCAAGTTCTTCTGGTACGGGTTGATGTCCAATGCGGACACGTGGCCTGTTGGTGACCATACCATTATTCGTTTCAGTTTACTTAGTAAAACGTTTTGCTGAGAGGGTATTTTAAAAGTGTTCGATAAGTGTGAGTAAAACCAAAAGGAATACCTAAACTTAGTTTACTTTAGTGTAGTGCATAAGCAACGGTGTCGATTCTGGCATGATTAAACTTAAATTTGGCAACAGTGTATCCTTGTCGTTATACAGAATGTGAAGGAAATTTTGATGTTAAATTTAGTTTTAAGTTTCGAGAATCATGCCAGAATCGGCATCACTACATATCAAAATTTATAACTAACTAGCTTCAGCCTGTGACTTCTGTAACATGAAACCAAATATAATATTAAAAAATATTACATAATAACATGTATTATCATAAAACATAAAAAAGAAACACACAGAGATTACATGACTAATGCAAATGTTACAAAGTTCATTGACTTTCAAAAGGAAGTAGGTGAATGAGATAAGAATGAGCTCCTGATCAGTCATATGATATTATCTTAAATAACAACCATAAAATCTTTTATAACACTTTAAAGAAAAAAAAATTGCTTACATTACCCCACACAGTTAGAAATCAAAAATTGAAATTGTTTTATTTCTTTACCATACATCTGATTACATAGATAAAGGTAGGCTCTTTTTTTAAGTGTAAACACACCTGTAAATTAACAGTATTCATTTAAATTTTGAACATGTCATAAAATTCAAAAAGTTTCATAAATTGCATGGCCATTAAACTATGATATTAATAGTTATTTTTCAGCATTTAGAAAAGTATAAATTCAATGTTTAGAAAGAAGTAGTTTATTCACAGTTAATGGTTTTTGTCAGCTAGTTAGATAAAATCTAAAAAATCAAAGAACCGTCACAACTCCGTAACTATCCAGTTTTGACCCCTAGTTCACTGTTATGAAAATTTAGCTCTGTGGTAGTGATGCTCGCGTGAATAACAATGTCCTCTTTTTGAAATTCATAATACCACATCCAGCATTGAAAATTGTGGTCGTCTGATGAGCAAGCCCATGGCATGGCTGCGATTTAAAAAACATAGGTGTTAGTATGATATTTATTACAACCCTAAACAAACACCGATAACACTTTTCTTTGACTTTTGTCTTTTTTTTTAGCACCCATTTTAATTTTTCATAATACGCAAGTAAAGGGTGCTCTTGCGGAAGAACAGCCCTACTAGGTTCTACACCAAAGTGACTTATGCTGAGCTTGAGCCTTTTATTACATAAAAAAAAATTGTAAAATATGTATGTCAATGTAAATGTGTCTGTAACAATAAACATCTTAATTATTATTATTTATTTATAGCTTGTTAAAAACAGTTTTTATCAGTCATGAAATTTTGTTGCTGTGCAATCATCCAAATATGATAATAAGCAAAATACAAATATTGGTCCGTCATCTTAATTTATGTGGCTGTATTTATTAGCAAACTATCTAGATAGTTCAAATGAACATTTTGTAACCCATATCAGGCAAAGTTGTGTGCTATAATTCCACTCCCTGTGAAACATTTTTGTTGTAAAAGTTGTTCAATAGAATTGACTATACGCTATTGCAAGGCTCACTTGCTTGCATTAAGTAATTTTCATTTATCATAATAAAATAAAATTTAAGATTATAAACATTACCGCTGTGCTTCGTGCTGCTTCCAAGCAGCGCATCATTAGAATTCTTAAGCAATTTCTCAGCACTGTAAAACTCCAATAAGCCTCCATCACAACCGCCAACTATGACCCCAGCTCCAGACCACACTAGCTTCTGAAACCTGAAATGAAACAGATTTGATAAGTTAATTTTACATTCTTGAAATTGTAGAAAAAAGGAACTTAACCCAAATAAGTAATAACATTTATTTGGGTTATGTGATGTTAATACAAACATTTAATAAATTCTAATTTGTAAACTAAAAATGGATTCATTGATATTTACTGATTTTTTTTCCTTAAATTCATATTTAAAATTATAAATCCAGTTCTGTCGGTGCTTGGTGTATCATGATTGCGAGGTACTTCTTTTTTAAGAGGGTTTATAAAAGAATAAAAATACTATCACCCACATTAGACTTTTGACTTACTTATGTTGTGTTTCAATGCTAGATTTTAACTCAAGATCCAGTCCTGGGTCCTCTAAGTTCAAGCCGTACAGTTCCAACATCGATGTGGAACTGAACGAAGAGTCAACCTGCTGTGCCGCCGAGCCGGTAGCGAGCATCACCGGGTAGTGCTCGCATGGTGACCAGCACGGGTTCACTGTCCTCTTCAACTCCTTCAGCTTCATTTTCAGCCCACTGTATCACTGAATACCGACAAAAACACAGTCAAAACCACAGCCGACACTATCACCCAATTATGTCACACTTTTGGAACTCGTCCCACAATGAAATTATGATTATAACACCAAACTATGTTACTGCTAATTGTTTGTTAATAGTTATAGTTGCGTTTTATAAATTAAATTGAATAGATTACTCAATAAAAAATATTATTTACCATAAAAACACCGAGTTGGCACTTCCAACGTGGCTGACGTAAATATTTCTGACCACAGATTAGGGAGAATAGTTTGACAGTGACAGTTTATCTACAGAAATATGAGGAGATCGTTTAGTTCGTTATAATTTTTTTAGTGTTTTTGATGATGCATTTAGGATAGGGCATTTTTCCTAAATATAAGATACCTAGATACATATTTGATAAATACAAGAGCTGAAAAATAATGTGGAGACGTAAATAATCGTAAATACCCAGATTATTCAGACTATAAATATTAAACTTACGTCGCCTTAGCAACAAATCTTGTGATTTTGTGTAATGTTCACGTTTTCCGCTTGTGTTTATTTTGTATTTTCTTGCAATAAATTTTAGTATATATATAAATAAATGAATTAAAAATAAAATAAAAATTGCCATCAAAATTGATAGAAGTTGAAACTTTTTGACATAAAAAAAACTTATGAAACTAATATGACAGAAGAGAAGGAATGAGTAACAATTCTCAATCACGAAAGAATATTAGAATTCATGACCACTTTGTGAAAAAGTAAGTTTATAATGTTTCCGTAGGTTTAGTCAGACTAGCATGGGCGTAGAGAGATTTTTTCTATGTAAGGGGACAGGCAGGGCGTATTTTAAAATCTGGCGCCTTTGAGGGGGAGGGAGCAACCCTTGAATGGGATGGCTGTTGTCAACATCTAATCCCGCCCTAGCTGTTACACAACTACTAATAGGCACTACTCCAACCAATAAGCATGTCAAGATAAATAGTTAGGTTGGTCATCTTATGCTTCCTAACTAGTATTAACTTAGAGCATATAGCATAAAGGAAGAATATCCTTTTTTTTCTTTTACTTCCAGTAAGTGAGCCAACCATGCCGATAGTAATGAGCAAGGATGAGTGGGACCGCATCGGTCGTTGGTCCGAGCACGGCAAGGAGGACCCGGAGATGGTCCGTCGGCGCGAATACGTCCGCTACTTGGACGCCACTAGCAACGCTATGACGAAGACCTGGCCAAATTCCTTGGAGGTTTGGAAGGAATGAGTGTGAGATGGCCACTCACCATTCTGCCACTTGATCAAAAGACTTGATGAAATTGGCTTGATCAAGCTAAACTGACCGTGCGCGAGGAGACATTTAGGAAGGACATGCCACCTGGCCGAAAGATATTGATTTGATCAAGCCACTTGATCATGTGGCATGGTGGTGAGTGGCCACCATTACGTGCGATTTTACAGTACACATACACCATAATACAAACAGTATGAGACAGATAATGGTCTACTTATATGCTGAATATTTTCAACCAGTCAACCGACACCAGGGTTGACTGGTTGAAATCTGGTTGGATTCGAACCAGCACTTTCAGCTATCCGGATGAATGCACCTCTACGCTACCGAGACCTGACTGGACGTTTCGAATTACTTCTATTATTTCTTATGATGCAGTGCCACTTCTAAAACAACATAACCTAAGAAATACTAGAAGCAATTCGACACGTTCAATGGTGCTCTATGTCGGGAGCGGTCTTATGGCAGGATAGAGCCATCTGGATCTGACGTATCAGTGTATGTATCTGTATATCGCCAGCATTTTCAGAAGAATTCATTATCAGAATTATGTAACACGGATAGAGATAGCTTCTTAGCAATCCATGGATTCACCATGCGGGTGCCGAGTCCATCGTGTGTCGCAGAGAGAAACTCCGAGCAGTTTCCAGGACTTGCGATCCAGGTGTAGGTTTAATGCTCTCTTTGTGATGTGCATCAAAGCTCACCTCAATTTTTGTAAGAGCCTGTTAGTGCAGCCTTAGTTACTCGTTCCAAAATTGAACTTGAAAATAATTATCACGTAACTTCTCGGCAGAATGTGAACAAACGCAACGAGGAGTTAAGGCGCGCGCGCCAGGAGGCGGCGGAGGCGAAGAATACCAACTTCTACAAGAGATACGTGCGCCGCAAGCGCGAGGAACAGCAGCGACTCATGTACAGCGCCAGGGACACCATCTTCAAGAACAAGGATGCCCCCAAGTTGTTACTTGGGTAAGTCATCATGATCATCAGCCTATTAATGTCCCCACTGCTGGGGCACTGGCCTTCCCTATGGATGGAATACGGAGATTGGGCCATGACCCACCACGCGCGCCCAGTGCGGATTGGTAGGTGCTAACGACTGCAGATGCAGCCGGGACCAACAGCTCAACGTGCCTTCTGAAGCACGGAGGAGCTCGAGATAGTAAGTTTTGGTCACCCATCCAATGACCGACCACTGCGAAAGTTGCTGAATTTCAACGATCGCAGCCGAACGCGCTAACCACCTGTGCCATCGAGCTCCTCTCTCTACTTTGGTAAATGCCTGGCCACATCTCTAAGTCACAACGTTATCAACGTGGAATGGAGCATTGACATAACGTTCAAATTTACGAAAGTGAGTAGACCTTCTCCGAAACGAACTTTCGATAACGAAATTCAAAAGAAATTACATTCGTCAATTTAAGGTTAGGTATATTTAATTTGAACGATAAACTATCAAATTGAAGTTTTCTTTGAGTAGGCTTAGAAAATCAACACCTCAATCTAGATTCCGACGATGAATATTATTATAATTAAAAACGAACCAGTAACATAGTAAAAAAGTGCGAAGTTTCGATCGAAATTTCGTTTTCCGTTGAATTAGAGTAGGTCTCCAGGTTTGCACGTTGTGTTAACGCACCATGCCACGTTACTGCACCATGCCACGTTACTGCACCATGCCACGTTACTGCACTATGCCACGTTACTGCACCATGCCACGTTACTGCACCATGCCACGTTACCGCACCATTCCACGTTGAAGACGTCGTGACGTTTATATGTAGACAGGCACTGAGGCAGTTAAAACTGCACCTGAATATTAGTAGCATTTATTTATTTATTTACTAAACTACACAGTATACTTACAGTGCAGACATAATTTTTGGGATAATATGTCAGCCTCCGGAATTTGATCATGTACAGGGTTAAGCAAAGAGATTGCTCTCGAAGTCGGTGCATTTTGAGCTCGTCGCGTACGGACTCCCTTATGCTCCGCAAAAACTTTTGTTCGTCTGCGTGGCGCCCCTACGTCGTTGCCCAACGCTCCGCTCATGTGTCTTTTCGGAACGAGCTTCATTACCTGAGCTTCATAAGGTTTAGGGTCCAAGTTACCCAAAGTAGAGTTGGGGAACATCAAATTTTGACCTATTCGTTTTTATCTACGTACGCTATAGCTATTGAGCTTTGATGGCGCAGTGGTTTGCGCGTTCGGTCTGCCGGTCATTACGGGTGAAAGCACGTGAAGCCGTTGGCCTGAGCCCCCAGATTGCTATTGCTAATTTGACGACCTCCGTGGCGGAGTGGTTTATACGCCGGGTTTCATGGTGTCGCCGACTCGAGTGGTCCCGGGTTCAAATCCCGGTAGAGGCAGATGTTTGTGTGATGAATATGAGCATTTGTACTCCAGTCATGGGTGTTTAATATGTATTTCTTTAATAATAAATTTATATATGTACAATATATGTATTCTATCCGTTACCCTAGTATCCCATAACACAAGCCCTACAGTGCTTACTTTGGGGCAAGGCTAATTGGTGTGAATGTTAGAAATATTTATTTTATTTATTTTTATTGATTGCGTCTACAATTTTTTGTGAAAAATGGCGCGATCTCTCTATTGCATCCTTAAACTGTGGAGAAGTAATTTTACCTTATATCAAATTATCCCACTAACGATTCTCTTCTTTTAGGACCTATCTATTTATGTTGTATTAACCAAAATTATTTATATTTCGACAGCGCTGTCATCGAAACTGTTGTGCAAAAGGAGCGTTTGGAGCAGTTGAAATTTTTGCAAGAGCAACGACAGCGCGAAGCGGATCAGAAGCGACAAGACGATGACGATGTCATTCGTAGGGTAGGTATCCATAATTTGATGCTCCATTCGCAGTTTCGTCAGCGTTGCATGACTCTCTTCCTGTGCTCTGGCTCACATTGCGGGGACTTCCACCTAAATTTTTCTTCTTCCAAAACCTCTCCCAAATAGAACTGAAAAAAGTGATGCCCGGGTGCAGTTCAGTATTAAGTGGTCCCTGATTTCTCCAGGAATTAAAGATATTCTTAAAAAAGATTATGAAAGTACAAGGTGTTGTATTAAAATCATAATCATAATCAAAATCATTTATTCAGTTTAGCCTGTTACAAGCACGCATGAATGTCTAGAAACTACGCCCATCGGTTCGTAAATCTACGGCGGGAGACCTTGTACTGAGAAGAACCGGCAAGAAACTCAGCAAGGGCTGTTTTTATCTCCCTGCTTTATTATTGACAGAGTCGTCAAGTTGAAAAATGACTTCAGAGATGATTCATGTTGTCATATTCATTACATAATGATTAATATACATTAATTGTTTACTTGCATTTTGATTATTTAGATTAGACAATGTTGTCCATTCAGAATATTTAGATCTGCTCAGCTGTTTCGGTGTGATAACCAAATCAGTCATATTAAAATAATAGAAATAATTAAATTAGTACGATATACCGGTTACGGATTTGAGAAGCTCGTTGGCCCAAGTGGTTAGCGCGTTCGGCTGCGATCGTTGAAATTAAGCAACTTTCGCAGTGGTCAGTCATTGGATGGGAGACCAAGTATGTATATATCTCGAGCTCCTCCGAGCTTTGGAAAGCACGTTAAGGCTGTTGTTCCTGGCTGCATATGCACTGTTTGGCATTCAAGAATACGCACAGGGCCCGCGTGGTGAGTCATGACCAAATCGCCATATCCATCCATAGGCAAAGCCTGTGCCTGCAGTGGGAATATTAAGCTGATAATGACCGGTTACAGATATGACTAATTACCCTTAACTATTTCCGTAACCGGAAATTAACCCTTTGCGATGTCGATAACCAGTAATTTAAAATAATGTTTTCCTACTGAAAATTTTTTATTTTTGGATTTGAAGGCTAAGGAGTGGCACGCCCTAAATCAGGAGAAGAAAGCAAGGCGCTTCGATGCCAACAAACGGCATCAGAGGGAAATTCTAGACCAGTAAGTTTTTTGTTAAATTTATAATACTTAGGTTCTTTAATTATTATAGTTCCTGGATTGCTGTAAAAATATTTTTTTAAACTTTCATGGTCACTAACATTATAGCTATTAACGGGATTGTTACCATGTACCTTGGCGTAAGTTAGTCCGTGATCATGGCGCTTGCAACAGTGCCGAAATATCGGAGACTCATAAAAAACAAGGTACATGGTAACAATCCCGTTAATAGCTGTAGAAGTGTTTTGTTGAAAATCGTGGGACATACGTAAATAACATTAATGCTAGCCCCCCAGATTCGGGTCATTCTAAATCTAAGGCCAAACTATTGTGGTATTTTTTTATTGTACAAGCCTAGCAAATTATTCATGAGGACGTTACGTACGGGGCTTACGCTCATAGTAGCGAGCGCCTGGATGTTGTTCAAATGGGCCCTGAAATGCTTCCTATAAGCAACCAAGTTTGATATTTGCGATGCAACAACGGACATTGCGCGTCGCAAGACTCTTGGCTTTTTTCTCGACTTAATCTAACAATGTATCGGTCTTTGCTGTAAATTAACAAGTTTTTCGAAAAAATCTTCTGATTTTAATCTAATTGTAGAGCCAACGAAGTATCAGAACGAAACAGAGTCGAGCACGAGACAGAGCTGAACTTTCAGAAGTTGGACAACATCAAGGCAAAAGAAGAAATGGCTGCCATCAAGAATTTCGAAGAAAAATTTGTAAGATTAGTTTCTTACTTTACGCTAACAATATCGTTCATCATCAGCCTCTTAATGTCCCCACTGCTGGGGCACAGGCCTTCCCTATGGATGGAATAGGGAGATTGGACCAAGACCCACCACGCGGGCCCAGTGCGGATTGGCGGGTGCTAACGACTGCAGATGCAACCGGGACCAACGGCTTAACGTGCCTTCCGAAGCACGGAGGAACGCTAGATAGAAATTTTTGGTCACATATCCAATTACCGACTGCGAAAGTTGCTTTACATCGATCGCAGCCGAACGCGCTGACCACCTGCGCCATTGAGCTCCTCAATATCGTTACACGCACATTATTAGCATGTGAATAAACTTTTATTGGCGGGAATGGGCGGCTTGAAGCAGTCGAGATGGAATGCTTCAAGCTGCGACTGCATAGTGAACTGCATCCTTAAATGTACACACATACAAGAAGAATGCAGAGAACAGATGCAACAACTGCTCGGGCTGTTGAGAGCTCGGTGAAATAGCAACTTTGTGCTGTTGACACTGGCTGATCGAACAGGAGTCCCAAGTAGTTGCTATTAAAATAAATATGCATAAGCGTAAACTTCGGCGTTATACCCGTTCACTGAAGTTTGAAGTTTGTAATGGTTAAATACCTGGGGCACACAGTCCAATAGAGTAGAATTAACTTTCAGAAAAAAAAACAGATCAACCAAATTTTGCTTGTTTGGGCAGCATATGGTACAAACTACAAAACAACTCTCGTAAAATAGCCGCAGCAGCTCAAAACAACCAGATTGTTTGACCACAGTATTATGTTGCTCGGTACCTAATGACTAACACTGAGACGTGGTCGCTTACAAATTACGGTACGCGGGTTCTCTGCGGGATGGCATCGAAAATATTTTCGATAGTACATATATAGGGTATACACCTTTTATACTTAATGGCATGCATTTGATGAAATTTTAATGATTCCGATATAAAATGAAACTCGATCGGGATACAGGCGTGACACTTCTCGTTACATTCAACACGCATTACACTATTTCTCTACAAAATAGCAAGTGAGCATTATAGTATAACTTCCTTGCTAGTGACACACCTCTTGACGTGACACTTAGACATTCCTCGTGACACTCCCACTGCATCGCGGCCGTGACACTCAATACTCCCGGTGACACTGGACACTCACCATATTTAGTTCAAAGTCTCGTACTTTGAAGTGAAGAAATGAGTGTAAGAGAGAAAATATTCGTCAATAATACCATTGTTATTGCTGCAGAAAGCAGCGGAGAAGAGTCGCATATGGCGGGACATGGAGCGGGCGCGGCACGAGAGTGTTGCGCGGCGCCGCGAGCAGCAAGCGCGCGACCTCCTCGACGACAAGCTGATGCACGTGCTGCTGCGGGCTCGCGCTCGGGTCGAGGCGCGCCGCAAGGATACCGAGAAGGAGGTGAGTACCGCCTCGACGACAAGATGATGCACGCGCTGCTGAGGGCTCGCGCTCGGGTCGAGGCGCGCCGCAAGGATACCGAGAAGGAGGTGAGTACCGCCTCGACGACAAGATGATGCACGCGCTGCTGAGGGCTCGCGCTCGGGTCGAGGCGCGCCGCAAGGATACCGAGAAGGAGGTGAGTACCGCCTCGACGACAAGATGATGCACGCGCTGCTGAGGGCTCGCGCTCGGGTCGAGGCGCGCCGCAAGGATACCGAGAAGGAGGTGAGTACCGCCTCGACGACAAGATGATGCACGCGCTGCTGAGGGCTCGCGCTCGGGTCGAGGCGCGCCGCAAGGATACCGAGAAGGAGGTGAGTACCGCCTCGACGACAAGATGATGCACGCGCTGCTGAGGGCTCGCGCTCGGGTCGAGGCGCGCCGCAAGGATACCGAGAAGGAGGTGAGTACCGCCTCGACGACAAGATGATGCACGCGCTGCTGAGGGCTCGCGCTCGGGTCGAGGCGCGCCGCAAGGATACCGAGAAGGAGGTGAGTACCGCCTCGACGACAAGATGATGCACGCGCTGCTGAGGGCTCGCGCTCGGGTCGAGGCGCGCCGCAAGGATACCGAGAAGGAGGTGAGTACCGCCTCGACGACAAGATGATGCACGCGCTGCTGCGATAAGGAGGACACTGATAAGGAGGTGAGGGGGCACGCTGATGGATCTAATTTTATTTCCTAAGTAAGCATTCTGGAGATGGATCAGCAGACCACGAGGAGGTCCATGAAGCGGGTGGTTAGCGCTGCGATAGTTGAAGTTAAGCAACTTTCGCAGTGGTCGGTCATTGGATGGATGACCAAAAATCTTCTATCTCTAGCTCCTCCGTACTTCGAAAGGCACATGAAGCCGTTGGTCCCGGCTGCATCTGCAGTCGTTAACACCTGCCAATCCGCACGAGGCCCGCGTGGTGGGTCATGGCCCAATCTCTCTATTCCATCCGTAGGGAAGGCCAATGCCCCAGCAGTGGGGACATTAACAAGTTGATGATGATGATGACGAGTATTCTGTAGCCTTTGAGCGGCCATTGTCACATTAAAGTACGATTCTCACTTACCAGCGTGAGTCAGAACGCACGAAGCGCATTTTACAATTTGCTGGAGGAAATTGCAACATCCACAAAGTTGTTTATTTCCTTATTCGTCGTCGTCGTTTTTTGTTGTTCAAGTCTCCGCCAAATACATATGTGTTTATTGGTTGATACAGATTAAAGAAGAGAAGCTGCGGGTCCTTGAGCAGATCAGCCACAAGTTGGAGTCGGGCGATGCAGCACGAGACGCCAAGGAACAGGCTATACTCGACAAGGCCATCCAAGAGAAGCAGGCCATGTAAGCTAGAACCTTATTCCTTATTACAGTTACTTTACTGGTGAACCAACTCGTGAACTCGTGAATAACAATTGGGTCACAGAAACTCTAGTCTTTTTATGGCTGTATTTTAAAAATGACAAAGAGATAAATATTATCTTTCACATTACAATAACAGTATCTATATATATCATTCATTCCTCATAATGAAGTGTCTAAAGTCATATTTATTGATTGTGGCTAAAAGCTCAATGCTTATACCCAGATTTTGACTGGTTATTCGTTATTATTTAAATTCGACATTGTTTATACAGATAAGAATGTTACAAGCACTTGTTACAAATATGAGGGTATGGGAGATACCTAGGGACTACTGAGTTGCTTACCCTGACCCCATACCCTACCCCGTGTAGCCCTGCAACCTTATTCACCGACAGAAACACAATACCATCAAAAGTTAGAGTTATTTTACTGCGGTCTTCTCAGGTGGAGGTTACAGCCCTAGACGGGTGCTCCAATTTGAGCGGGAAATCTGCTATGCCCTATATCTCTCCCAAATCATATTCTCTTTGTTAAATTATACATTAATTTATTTATATCTATTAAAATGTACTTTTTGACCACTATACTGTCATGGAGGAGCTCGATGGCGCAAGTGGTTAACGCGTTCGGCTGCGATCGTTGAAGTTAAGCAACTTTCGCAGTGGTCGGTCATTGGATGGATGACCAAAAATTTAATAACATGAGCTCCTCCATGCTTCGGAAGGCACGTTAAGCCGTTGGTCCCGGCTGTATCTGCAGTCGTTAGCACCCACCAATCCGCACTGGGCCCGCGTGGTGGGTCATGGCCCAATCTCCCTATTCCATCCATAGGGAAGGCCTGTGCCCCAGCAGTGGGGACATTAATAGGCTGATGATGATGATGATGATGATGATACTGTCATGACTGAGTCATGGTACTTAATGTCAAATTTAGCCTATAATATTATTTTCTTCATTTGATAGACTCTTACTATATGGAAATGTATACATAACTATTCTATTTACATTTAAAGAACACAAAGAGTTATAGTAGGTAATGGTGTCATTTTTGTTAACATTACCTCTATTACCAATTAAAATAATTAAACTTGTATTTTTGTCAAGTTCAAGACTTAATATTTCTTCATTAATTGGTCCATTGTGACACCTGGCAAAGAATAATTAATTGTGCTTTCACCCAGCTGTTTTTGTAATAAGCAACCCAGATCTTTACCAAATTCATCACATAACATTATGTTCTTATGAAAGTCTCTCTGCTTAAAAGAATTACAACTAATTGTGGTCTCTGAGTGAACAGATTTAATAATCAAGGATTCACATACTGGATCAGTGTCATTTTGTTCATTAATGCTCTGATTCAAAACCAAAGACTGACATTTTACAGGTGTGTCTTCGTGAAGGGTGGTGTTAGATAGATACTTTAAGGCCAGAATGTGATCTTCTATCTGTTTTTTGAGTTAGTATAATTCAGCGTCATTAGAGATAATGATTGTTGAAGGGTTTTTAACTTAATATTCAATGAATCCATATTTTGTTCATACGTCTATCTATTTTCTTCAATTATGGAACGGCAAGTACTATCGTAGGTTACACACAAGCTAACTTAATAATTCGCTGTGTCGTCTTCCAGCGCCGAAACTCGCCGTCAGTCTGATGAGCGCAAGAAACAGCAGTTCCGCGAGGAGCGACGCCGCGCCCGCGAACAGTTCCTGCGGGACGAAGCCGCGCGCCTGCAGGACTTCAACACCACGCGGCAGTGGGACATCATGAACAGGTCAGGAACAAGACAGCTCAATAACTTTTTACATTGAACTCAACGATATATTAAATACCCTAGATACACCAACACGAACAAAATCGGGCCCGAAACCTGTCCAAAAGGTACATTGAACGATCCACGGAGCTCCGTAAGATGATCACGTAGTCAAAATCAATATAAGGCATTATTTAAATATTGAAAGTAACTTTTAATACATACTGTATAAGGTCTTAAATAAAACGCATGCGTCAAGGACTTCCGACGGTTCGAAATGCAAGCTCTTAAAATATTACGACTTATTGCTATATGCGGAAGAATTTAGACCTTAGTTCTTTGACGCGCGTGACTGTGAACCAAGAAGTGTTCAAGCACTTCTTGATCGGGGGACACATTTTGAACTTTGAGCGCTCGTGGTGTATCTAGGGGTAATAATATCGTTGATTGCACTATACAAAATAATGACCGTAAACCGCTGCGTCCACCCTGCACCATGGGTAAAGACGCCTCTGATTACCAGTAATTATGTAGGTACATAGATGCCTGACCAAAATTGTAATATCTTCAACTCTTTCATCGAAAGGCAACATCCATAAGACCAATGCCCCATCAGTGGGCACACTATAAGACAAGATAACTATGATGATGAAATGTAATGAAAGTTGACTTCATGAATCATCTCTGAAGTCATTTTTCAACTTGACGACTCTGTAAATAATAAAACAGGGAGACAAAACAGCACTTGCTAAGTTTCTTGCCGGTTCTTCTCAGTACAAGGTCTCCCGCCGTAGATTTACGAACCGATGGCGTAGCTTCTAGACATTCATGAGTGCTTGTAACAGCCTAAACTGAATAAATTGTTTTGATTATTAATAGCTCTAACTATACAAACACGGGCAGATATAAAGCCGAAAAAAAGACTTATGTAACGCGAAGCCTCCCTACGCCACGCGATACGTGTTGTGAGGCATAAAATGTAATTACTGTTTTCTATGATCAAAATCACATTAGGAACATCCGACGCGAGGCGGTGCGCACACACTGATCATAGCAAAATTTGCGTCGCGGGGCGTCGCGTTTCAAAAGCCTGTTTCGACCATTATAATCATGCCTAGCGGGCAAAACTATATCCATATCAGAAGCTTCTTGTATGGTCGCGGCATAATGCTTGTCTGCCATCCTTAATATATGGTTCTGTGTATATGTATGATAAAATGGTTACCTTGACAGATTTAAGAATGCAGAACTCTATGAAGACTTCCAAGAAGATTTGCGTAAGGAGAAGGCTCGTAAGATCAAGGAATACAGGGAGGATATCCTTAAATTATGGGTACGTGACCGTTTAGAAATGGATTACCTATGGAGATATTTAAATCATTATCAAAAGCAGTTTATTGCCATGACTCTTAAAAACAAACCCAACACTATCAATATTTTATGTTATTTTTTAAGGTGAGGGTTGCTTTCATACCCAAGCGTTTTATTCCAATAAGCCTCACCTATTATAACTATTTTATTAATAAGTACAAACCAGCGGGTGCTCACGACTACAGCTGTGTGCATTTCGTTCATCTGTTTCAACCTCTTAAAAGATGATTTCTGGAATTTAAATTACCTTAAGTCTTTTATAGAAACTCAAACTATGTATATGCCAATTTTCATGTAAATCGGTTAAGCGGTACAATGTCATAGACAGATCGAACAACAATTGGTTTATCTAACAAATCCCACCCACAACCCATGGCCTGACGAACTTCCTGATTATGCAGGCAGAAGCAGCGGGAGATAATAATAATAAAATAATGATAATAAATATTTCCAACACTCACACCAATTAGCCTAGCCCCAAAGTAAGCACTGTAAGGCTTGTGTTATGGGATATTAGGGTAACGGATAGAATACATATACAGTACATATATAAGTATATTTACAAAGAAATACATTAGACATCCATGACTGGAGTACAAATGCTCGTATTCATCACACAAACATCTGCCCCCACCGGGATTCGAACCCGGGACCTCTCAAGACGGTGACACCGTGAAACCCGTCGTACAAACCACGGAGATCGTCAAATATACGATTTTTCTATTACATTGTCTATATCTTTAAGGTTCGTAGTCGGGCCGAATACCGCCCAGTAGCAGAATCTATATAACTAATTATACTAAAGTACTTAATCAATATTACTTACTACAAGTACGTCATACAATTCTCTTAGGTTTTGGTAAAAATATCTAAGGTGTTGTTTTTAGAGAGGTTATTATATAAGCTTACAAGTCTATTGAGTGGTGCTGATTTTCCCAGATTTGTTTTGGTTTGATTTGGAATAAATACTGAGAAGCGGGATGCGCGTGGTAATTTTCGAGGACAGCTAAATCTAATTTTCGGGACTAGGTTTCATAGTCAGGCTTGATTTAAGTGGCCTTGAGTCGGGCTTCCACTCCCGGAAAAAACCGATACAACTCCCTCCCCTGTTTGGTTTGTCTAACAGCGTGAACGTGAAGACCGCGAAGCTCGTGAGAGAGCAGAGACTCGTTACTTCTACGGGGAGCTGGCGGAGAGCAAGCTGCGCCGCGCCGACAACCAGCTGCTGGCGCACGCTGCTGCGCTCGTTGAAGAAGCTGCCATGCACGATAGACTCACGAGACCTATACAGCGCGCCGTGGACGTAAGTATAAATACTGGGCTATCGAATACATGTACTGTGAACTCGCTAGGGATCCTGCCGTGCGTGGTAGACCCACCAGACCTATACAGCGCGCCGTGGACGTGAGTATAGATACTGGGCTATCGAATACATGTACTGTGAACTCGCGAGGGATCCTGCCGTGCATGGTAGACCCACGAGACCTATACAGCGCGCCGGGGACGTGAATATACTGAACACTTGGCTTTGGAACATAATATATAGAAAGGAAAAGAGAAATATTTAATTAACCTTGAATAAGAATACAATTACAAGCATACAACGTTGAAGACGCTTAATAAAATTAAATAAACAAAGAATTAAACTACTGTCTCTAATTGATCAATCAGGTCAAGACCCTGCCTCAGCATAGTGCTGCCGCAACACGTCGCCATAAGTGTCACAGCAACACTGATATCCTGGCAGGGCCTTTAATGCCGGCACTTGACATGGACGGATATGAATCCGTCGCCAGCATATTCCACAAAAGTCCCTCCCTCGCACTCCCCATAGAGTGTGAAAGGGCCACACATATACTATGAATCACATGCGGTTAATTTACACGCGCTATGAAACACATACACTACGGAATACATGCACTCGAATGGCCGCCGCGTTTGAGCGATTCACTAGACCGATACTGCGCGCTGTGGACGCAATTATACTACCAGCCGCGCTATGCAATAGACACGCTACGATAAACGTTGTTGCTGAGGCCGCCGCGCATCACCGACCTTCTAACTATACCGATACTGCGCACTGTCGACGTAAGTATGCTAAATATTGGGCTATGGAATACATTCGCTATAAGTCACATACAATCAGTACAGAACACAAGCTCTACGACAAACGCTAAAAAAACAAACTCGCTACGACAAACACACTGTGATGTTAAATTCCCCTCAACTGCCCTCTTCTCGCTCACTCAGAGCACCGGGGGAACAATAAAAGAAAACCAAAAAATTAAGATAATGTTATAAGTATATTTTATCCACTTTAGATACCAAAGCATAGGAATTCAGTAGTTTTAAGTTATTGCTTATATAAATCAACAAGTCTAACTATGTTTATTATTTATATAATAACTATGTTTCACTAATTATAAAGATCTAAGCTGAATACAGTGGTTCAAAGTTAATGTGTATATAAACCAACAAGTTGTCATGAAAGGTTATAATTATATGAATATCAGACATTCATAACACTTTACCATGTACTTACAATATAATACTTACTAATATATTTTATCCACAAATACCACATAGACTAGACTGAATAAGCTATTTAGTGGATTTCAGGGGTTCTACGGCTCGTTTGATCGATATTGGTGACAAACTTAGTTAATTCTAGTTCTCAGTGAGATAACCAGTTATATAGATATATGTAAATATATGGAAATGGGTAAGTCGGGGTCCAACCTCGCCTGGTGGTTCCTTTCCACGTTCGCCCGGGGTTAGTAGAGAAATACCTTGATTATGATAGGTTAAGCTGTGTATAATCTGTCTGCTGTTACGGCCGGGTTACATAAAACTGGAGAGCGGCTGGCAAATAAACTCCCGCGTCCCTTCTGGTCCGTGTACAGAAAAAAGTCTCCTTGTTAGTCCTCCAGTATTTCTTGAGGGGAACGTACAAGCCTGAAGTTCACATTGAAAAAAAATGATCAGATATGGGGAAAATACATAGATTACCACATCTGTGGTGGGTGAGGGAGTGAGGGATATTCACGGTCAATGTTTACACTTTAAAATTTGAATCACTTCAGGACTGGGGCCCGTCCCACCGGGTCGAAGGAAATCAATTCCACGTTCACTAACTTGACAAGAATGATTAGGTATATTTGATGACAAGAATCACTATATTGTGCATAATGCAGTTCAATTAGTGCTAGGAGAATAAATATGAGGTCAGATGATAGCTTACCGTTCGAAATATGAAACTATCCGTAAGTATTTTGTTTCCTATCACAAGTTACCGCCTTATTATTGCAATCGCCTTGCGAAGGTTCGGGTTCGTCCACCTACGATACAGAATATCAACAGAAAGGTTATTCTCACAGCCCAAACTTGCAAATTATGTAGGAAAAAGAGCCACTCCAATATACCTACGAAACTCAGTTCGGTTAGCGACTCCGCGCTTTTTCCGCCAATATCCTTCGGGATATAAACTTTTCGGATCTATCTCACGACTCCGACGACAGTAATATGCCGTTTATTATACTTTGGGCAGAAGAAAAGATGAAAAGTTAACTGTACCACAAACAGATTGTGAAATTTTAAAAGTTGTTTTGACAATTGCTCATAGATGATAGACGGATCGTCCACTCCCAAACATGTGTCTATGATTTGTTTCCCACTTCAACTGAAGGCAAAGGCCACAGTCAAACAGACAGCCGCCGCATTCGAGACGAACCGAAGAATAAACTCAAAACTATATACCTACGCTCGCCGTAAGCTGAGGAAAAGGGAATACCTACCAAATCAGCGAGGAAATTCAATTTCGAGTAAAATTCAAAATCGATTAAAAACAGCACCCGATAATGAGGACTCAAATCGATCTGGGAAAGACTATTCAAAATTCAACAACTGTCAAACTCCATCCATTCATCCACGCGCCCCCACAGAGATTCCCCGCCTGATTACTTTTTTTTTTTTTTTTTTTTTTTTTATAAGTCTCAAGGCGAATATTTTAGTCGAATAGGAAAATCGACTCTTCCCTCAAGGCTACCAACCCAATCAACGAAGTTTGACAGCTACGCTGACGTAAGCGGTTCGCTATCATAGACAAAACAGCTGTCCTACGTGTGTCAGTGTCACGCTCTGTTTAAAAACAAACACTACAACACGCTACGATAAACACGCGCTATGATAAACATAATTAAGTGCCACGGAACACATGAACTACGGAAAGAATGCGCTACAGTACATACACGCTGCAAAACACAAGCTACGTAATACAAGAATAAAGCCAGAAACATATTGACGTGTCGTGTCGTGTCGTGGCGCGCCAGAAGCACATCGGTTTCATACATTTACTATGGTTAGAGACATATTTACGTATCGTGTCGTGTCGACGCTTTAACCTCCCTATCTCTCTCTAACCCATAATAAATGTATGAAACCGATACGCCACGTCACGCCACGACACGTTAATATGTTTCTGGCTTAAACTAATAATCTAATCCTTTTTTCTATCCTTCATAAACCTTATAAATAGCTGGCCAAAGTTTAAACTTCTTTTTCATTAAAATTATGATTTTGAAAAGTCAGTCTTTAAATCTTATTTGCCAGCGCTACTGCAAGCTATATCGGCTGTACCCGATGCCGGAGTTGCCGCACTCGCAGCAGGAACATTTCAAAGAGTACGCCCCAAGAGACTGTTCACAACCAGACCCTGACTATAAGGAGCCCACCCCACCCCCTTCATTACAGCCACCAACTGCTGGAAAAACCGCCACTGCATTAGACGGTGCTAAGAGAGATGGCTTGCAGGACATTAGCAAGGTATGTAGCTCATCTACTTGTCAATATCATCATCATTAGCCTATTAATGACCCCACTGCTGGGGCACAGGCCTTCCCTATGGATGGAATAAGAAGATTGGGCCATGACGCATCGCACGGTCGCAGTGCAGATTGGTGGGTGCAAAACCACTGCAGATGCCGGGACCAACGGCTTTACGTGCCGTCCGAAGCACCAAGGAGCTCGAGATAGTAAATTTTTAGTCATCCATCCAATGGCCGACCATTTCGAAAGTTGTATAACTTCGACGATCGCAGGTCGAACACGCTCACCACCTGCGCTATCGAGCTCCTCCCGTGACTATTGAAATATTAAAATTGAGTACGACTACGCCCAGAGAAATTGTGCCAACCATATCTGGGATATACTTAAGGACCCACCCCGCCCCTTTCTTGGCCACCACCAAATGTTGTACCCGTCATAGATAGTGCTAAGAGAGATGACTTGAAGGACAGCGGCAACATAGATTGTGTGATTCAAACGCTATGGCGATTGTGAAGTTCGCAACGAGCGCACTCATGCGCTATTGGAACATTTGGAACTTCTTCACCGGCAGAGACAATACCACCCGGAAGTTGTGATTATTACATAGTATATTTTTTATGTTATAAGTGTGGCAAACTAACATATGGCCCGCCTGTTGGTAAGCGACCACCATAGTTTACTATTGAGGCTTGCGTTACAAAAAATTTCACTCGCGTCTTTGCCTGCCCTGACCTAATCTCCTAACCCGTGGAGCCCTGGAACCTTACCAGTGCTTCTACAATGATGGGAAATTCCCCTTTTAAGGGGAAATTAGGGTCCAGAGGGGAAGAAAAAGGGGAAAGACATGAAAATGGGAAATTATGGGTAAAGCCTAGCCTAAAATAATGCGGCATGGAACAATTTTTTTATGGACTATACCGGTGACTAGAGTGTTGCCGTATAAAAGAAACTGGCAACACGTGCAGATTTTATATATTTTATTTATCTTTTATAGAATAAGATAGATTAAGACCTTTTTTTTCTTTAGTTACTACACAAGTGCCAAATCTAAAAACTACAGCAGAATAATTTTTGAGGGGAAAAATGTCCTAAGAAGGGGAAATCTGAATTGAAGCGTGGGGAAAGGAAATCATTAAAGTGGAAACACTGAACCTTACTTACCGCCAAAAACTCAACACCACCCAAAAGGTAGTGTTATTTTACTGTGGTCTTCTGTAAGGTGGAGTTTCCTTCCCCAGACTGGAAGCCTACTCTATTTCAACGAAAAACGAAATTTCGCACGTTTCTTACTCTGTTTCCTTTTCATTTCGAAAATTCGTTCGTCCGAAAATACGTAGTTTGACAATTGTATTCTCCCAGCCTACTCAAAATAATAAACTAAAAAAAAAAAAATAATAATAATTCACAAAACTTTTGAATGAAAAGTTCAATTTGACAGATTTCGAAATTTTACCGTAATAATTAATGTAATTGCAATACTTAAAAGTATTAAACGACAAATTTAGGTTGACATAGAATAGATTGTATCAACTCACAAATTAGTCGGTTAACAATGTCAAAGAAGGTTCTTTCGATGTCATCAAAAATTTTGCCGTAAACTACCTATAGACCAAGAGCTACTGAACCTTCCGAGTTACGGTCTGTCTGTAAGGCTAGAAATTCTTATGGTGATGAGTCATAGCATGCTTAGTACCACAGTATATACAGGGCGTCCCACGGCTACCTCAGATGGAGGGAAAGTACATTAAATATTGAAGATATCCTATCTTATATTTTACTGAAAGAAGACATCATTTTAATTTTAATAATAACTAGAACTGCATTCACAGATTTATTTTAAATCGCCTGCTTCAATTGGGAATCAAACTCGTAAAATTTGGAAAAAATACCACGACATATTTTATGATAACAATCGAAAGGGTTAATCATAAGGATTATTTTTTGGTAAATAACATAGCATTTTAAATGAAAGAAAAGTAATTAAATTTAACATTTTATTTAAAATTATTTAACACAAACCAATATAAAATCGGATACCCCCTTAAAGTTAGTTAATATGTTGACGTTTATCATCCACTGCTGTGGTTTCTGTTAGCGCATATCAAAACGTCCTTTTCTTAAAGTATCCACTAACATTTTAAACATATATCGAGAAGTTACGTCTCTATCAGGATATCTTTCGCGGTACCACTGCAAAGCTATTATGTCTTGGTGGTTCATAAAGTAAGCTTCCATTAAATCCATTTTATTTTGATACGCCATGGTAAGTAAATTAACAAAAAAATACAAATAAACGAAAATGAAACTCATAAAACACAAAAGAACAGACGCTTGAAAATTTGTGTTCCATTTTCGAATTATTGTTTTTATAAATTTCAGCCAATCACATTGTAACTGTGCGTTCAAAAAAAAATGCATTTGTACTACAGTTTTGTATATCACTTTATTATTTTTATAACTTAATAAGATATTCTATTCATTTGAAATGCTATGTTATTTAGCAAAAAATAATCCATATAATTAACCCTTTCGATGGTTATCATAAAATATGTTGTGTTTTTTTTTCGAAATTTCACGAGTTTGATTCCCATTTATAGCAGGCGATTTTTAAAAAATCTGTGAATGCAGTTCTAGTTATTATTAAAAATAAAATGATGTCTGCTTTCAGTAAAATATCCTGTCTTCAATATTTAATATACTTTCCCTCCGTGTGAGGTTGCCGTGGGACGCCCTGTATATAAGCTAAAGCAGTATACCGCAACTAAACCATTTTGTTGATTGAGTGTTACGATTGTCACTCTTAATTTATGTAAATTAATAGGCTTTTATTTATTAAAACGTTAGTTTGGGTTCTTTAATTAATACATCCATACATACTACCATAATAAATGCGAAAGTGTGTCTGCCTGTCTATTACCTCTTCACGACTAACGCTGAACCGATTTAGATGAAATTTGGTATATAGATAGTTTGTGCCCCGGGGAAGGATAAAGGATAGTTTTTATCCCAGAAATTGTCCTCTAATAGGGTAAAAAGGGGGGCGGAAGTTTGTATGGGAAAACAAATATTTCACGCCGACTAAGTCCCGGGCACCCATTAGTGATCAAATAATCGGATGAATTACTACTACTACTACTACTACTACTATGACTAGCTTTACAAACAAAATTGTATAATTTAAAAAAATTTCAACATTTTAAGAAGTCTTTATTTTTTGTAATTATAAATTACTCACTGAAAAATACTTTCGCCTGCTACCACACGTTAGAAAAGCTTTATTATAAAATTTTGTAGTGTAAAAAAATTCGCATTTTAATTAAAGTTTAAAAAATTTAAACGCCGGTTTTTAAGAAGTCGACTTTAAGCGTATACTGCGCTATGCCTTCGTGGCATGTTTAAAATGTCCGCGGACAGCTCACGCGATACGATTAAATATCTTTAGTAGTAGCACTCCCATGATTGAGACGAATCGATTGATGTATGATACATCAAAATCGGTCGAAGCGTTTGGACTCTAGTGTGCCACAGAGGAACAAACATACATATATAGACTGTTAAACACTATACCCTGTCTGCGCGTCGCGCTTCGCACTCTTGCATTGCGCAGTCGGGTAAAAAAGAGTGACCGCTCGTCTCAACCTGTGGTCTCAACGCGGCACACGAGACTAATTTTCCCCCGAGACCCACCAAGAAGCCGTGTGTCTGTGGGCGTGTGTCATTTCGAGCGTTTGTATGTAGTTTCCTTACTGTTAGATTTATATTCTGTGTTAGTACGGTAAGCACAAAGAGTACTTTTTATATACGGAAATAGAGAGCCATCTTGCGAGGTTTGGACGGTAACAGAAAAGCGCCCTCTGCGATGACAATACTAAACTACATCCAGTCAGTATTTTATTCGTGCGACCTCCATTCCTAATGGTCCATTTGTTTTTATCTAAATATTCTTGTAACAGATTTGACAAAATTATCGGTATAATTTTATTAAATCTGTTACAAGAATATTTAGATATTATTTGAATTACTTAATCTAATTGGGAAATAAAACAATATTGATACTTTCATTTCTTTTTATTTTTTAAAGATTTATTAAAATATATTTCAGCCATGCTCTGAAGAACATTATTGTTGTCTTTTTTTCTTTTTCCACATAACACTTTATTAACGTCCTTGCAATATGACCTTATAAAAAATCTCACAGCATAATTATACAAAAACTGTATAAGAAGATTTTTGTGATCTTCACAAGTGGTGATGATACACTTTGTATCAATATTTAAATATAAAATAGTCTTTATATATTCTTTGACATTTTTTTTTGGGAAATTATCTTGAATAATAATATGGAATATGTCCTGAATTTGTGATATTATATATAGAAAACTTTCATTTGGGTAACACAACCAACCACGCTCAGAATATTCTCTGTACCTCAAATATTCATCGTCTTTATTTTTATTCAATAATGAATCATTACAGGTTATACAATTTTTAAAAATTCTTTTTTTGCATATTTTTAATATAAACCCACTTACATATGTTAATGACGCCATCCCCTTTACATCGTCTTTTTTTTCCACAATAGGGGATGGGTTTATTATGAGGTGTTCCATATTTAATTCCTGAACTGGTTGGTCAGTTTTGTCACTAGGACCTAGTATATAGGACTGTAAAGATTCACAAAAATCCTCTTCACAGTTTGAACCAACTGCATGAATACTTTTTAAATTATTAATCATGAGCGCAGTAAATGACGACTGGAATGCAGCAGGACTTGGGTTATTATTCCTGCAGCCATGACTTCTAATAGATCCAAAAAAGTTTTCAAGGGGATCCTGGTTCAAATGGCGAGTCCAAATTGAAGTGATTTTATGTTCTTGTGATAATTTTTTTATTAAATATTCCAGACCTTCAATTGTCCACACAAAATTTGTCAGTGACGGTGTATTTGTGGATTTACCATCATTATTTACAAATCTCATAGATTTTATTATTTTTTT